GTAGTGACCATTGGGGTCTCTTTTTATCTTTTTGAGTTTGAAATCTGTTTTATCTGCTATAAGTATAGCTGTTCCTGCTTTCTTTTTTGGTCCTTTTGCTTGTAGGATTGTTTTCCATCCTTTAACTTTGAGCCTATTTTTATCTTTTGTAGCTAAATGTGTTTCCTGGAGACAGCAAAAGGTTGGGTTTTGTTTCTTAATCCAGGCTGCAACTCTGTGTCTTTTTATTGAAGAGTTTAGTCCATTTACATTTAGAGTTAATATTGATATGTTAGCATCTGTATTTGCCATTGTGTTTGTCTTTCCTTTGATTTTATTTATTTATTCTTTAATAACTTTTTTTTTTGGCCTTCTTTCATTGTTATTCATCCCTCTGAGGTTCTGGCTTTAGGACTCCTTGTAGTATTTTTTGGAGTGGGGGTTTAGTTGTAATGAAATTCCGGAGTTTCTGTTTGTCTGGGAAGGTCCATATTCTTTCTTGAAAGAGGAAGGAGAGCTTTGCGGGATAGAGTATTCTTGGTTGGATCTGTTTTCTTGGAGTCTGTTGACTATGTCCCTCCACTCTCTCCTTGCCCGTAGTGTTTCTTCGGAGAAGTCTGATTTCAGCCTGATTGGCTTTCCTTTGAATGTTATCTGTTTCTTCCCTCTTGTCAGCTTCATTATTTTTTCCTTGTCCTGGATTCTTGGGAGCTTTACTATTATGTGTCTTGCTGTATTTTTCCTTTTGTCGTGGAAGTTTGGTGTTCTTCTTGCTTCTTGTATATCAATTTTCAGCTCTTTCTTCACATTTGGAAAGTTCTCTTCAATTATCTCTTTGAATATTTTCTCTGTTCCTACATCTCTCTCCTCTCCTTCTGGTATTCCTATAACTCTTATATTTCCTTTCCTCATGGAGTCAGAAAGTTCCCGAAGTCTTTCTTCGTTCTTTTTCCTTCGTACTTCTCTTTCCTTTTCTGTTTTGGTTCTTTTTATTTCTGTGTCTTCAAGAGTACTTATTCGTTCTTCCATTTCATCTATTCTGCTTTCATTGCTTTTCCCAGAATTCTTTAGTTCTTCCATTAATTCTTTGATCTCCTGCATTTCTTTTACTTCCCTCTTTAGGGACCAATTTCATTCTTCTGACTATTGTTTTCCCTCTTTAGGGACTCAATTTTATTCTTCTGATTGTTGATTATTTTTCCCTTATCATTGTTTTCCTTTATGACTTCTGTCAGTTTTTTAATCACGGCAATTTTAAATTCTCTTTCTGGAAGGCTCAGAAGTTCTTCCAAGTTACTGTCATTGCAATCTGGGGGCTGGTTTTCTTTTTGTGGTGTGCTTTTTCCCTGAGGAGTTGCTAGGTTGCGTGTGGTTCTTCTACTCCCTAATGTCTGTTTTCTAATTTGCCGTATGCATTGGGACACTGTGTTGTTGGGACTGGCCGGCATCTTGGGTGAGCTTCTCTGCTTCCCTCTGGTTCCTCCAGGAGCCATATGTCAGTTTCAAGCAAACTTTGCTGGAGAAAGGTCCCTGTTTTAAAATGCCAATGTGGGGACACACTCCCCTGTGCGCCTGGTCTGCCACAGTGGTGGGTTCCTGCTCCCCCTCTGGGCTTGGACTGCAGGCCAGAGGGGGTCTGGTGTGGGCGAACTTCCCCCGCTCACCTCTGGCTCCTGAGGAATCCTTCTGCAGGTAGTCTTTACTGAAGAAATGTCCTTGTTCTAAAATGGTGATGTGGGACACACTCCCTGCGCATCCGGTCTCAGCACACTCTTCTGCGTGCCTGGTCTGCCCCGGCTGTGGGTGCTCGCTCCCCCTGTGGGCTCAGACTACTGGTCGGAAGGGGCCCGGCATGGGCTAACTCCCCAGCTGGCCACTGGCTCCTCCAGGAGCCAGTGCTGGTTTCAAGTCGCTAGGTGGCGCCAGAGATCTCTCCTAGAGCCCTTGTGAAGCTGATTTTCCACCCAATGGGACAGGGAACAGAGCAGGAATGGTAGGGTAAACCTCAACGGCTTTGGGGTGCTGTGTCTGCCTTGTGCCCCACCGTCGTGGGGAACCCACACCCCTAATTTCGTGCCCCGGGTCTCAGTTCCAAAGCCCTCAGTTCCAGGACGCGGGCTGTAGCCCAGTTCAGTGGCGCGGGAATGGCGCCTTTTGAATCCCGCTCCCGTGCCTGGGCGCCTGGTTCCTGCTCACTCAGTGAGGGCCTCCGCGCGTCTCCCCGCAAGCCTAGGTCGCAGGCGCGGGGACCTGGGCAGCTGCGATCGGGATCCACGTTTGCTTTTCAACCACACTGCTTTTCCGCGCGATCCCGATCCCGATCTGCGCTTGCTTTTCCAGAGCGCTGCTTTTCCGCGCAATCCCGATTCCGTTCCCCGTCTGCTTTTCCAGCGCGCCGCTTTTCCACGCAAGCTTACCGGGCGGCCTGGGGCTGTGTGCTGGTGCTGGTCTCCTCCTGGGGGGCGGGGTCTCTCTTTAATGGCTCCTGGAGCTCACCTCCGCGGCGAATCCTGCAGGATTCTCCACAGCTCCCGTTCACGGGCTGTGGTGGCTGCAATAGTTCCTTTCCACTCCCAGTCCCGCTTGCTGCGTAGTTTGCTCTTGTTGGTCGTTTTAGTTTGGTTTTTTTTTTTTCCTCCTCTCTGCTGGTCAGAGAGTGCGGACTTTGTGGGCGGGGGAGGGGAGCAGGGTTCTGTGCTTTCCTCCCTTCTGGTCCTCTTTTATGGCAACTTTCTTCTTCGGGCAGTTTGCTGGAGTCACCCGTTTATCTTCCGTGTCCCAGTTCTCACTGGGACCTGCCGCTTTTCCTCCCTATTCACTTTTCTTAATGGGAGATCTTACTCGCAGTGTCTCCTCGCCGCCATGTTGCTCCGCCCCCTCGGACAAATAATTTTGAACGGTGAATGATGTGGGCCATTCAGTTTTTGACTTCTTCATAGAAGGGACATGGATTTATAAGCTTGTGTATGAATTAGGGCACAGTTTCATACTTCTTTTTTTTTATGGTTTCATACTGCTTGAGATGTATGTTACTTCACAACACACACCACCAAAGCATGCAGAGCACTATATCCTTGAATTATCCTTGAATATTGGGCCCCCCTGCCTATGTGTTCACATCCCTCCTACATTCTCTCACTTGTAGCCTGAATTCTTCAGTCCTATATTCTCATTATTTTTATGTTTGCCAGTTTTTTGTTAGGGATTTGGAGAGGAGATGATTTGTTTCATAGATGTTTATTCATAGATTGAATACCTAAGTTGTATTTAATAAATTGGACCATTTTCAAGAGTCTTTGCGATGTGATTTTATGAATTCTTTTAAATTTTTATTGTCTTTTTTTGTTTTAACTGAGGGTCACAGGAAGGTGATTTAAAAAAAAGAGAGAGTACTGAAAAATGTAAATAATCATGACAGGGTTTTGCAGACTACAGTCAAACAGGAAGAAAATGGATCTACCTGGTCATGCCACTTAGCTAATATGAACTACAGGACTGTCTATCTACCACTTTCTCTGGAATTCACTCTTGAACTTGCATTGGTAATTTTCCCAATCACCCATCCTGCAATATTGGTCTCGAAAGGTCACCACTGATTTTTCAGTTTAAAGAATTGACACATACCTTTTTAAACCCAGGAGCTTTATCAACCTCAATGGAAATCTCTTTCCTCCAACATCATTTCTTCATGTGACACTCAGAAGTTATTTTCAGAGGGAGAACTTTCTGGGTGTCCCCCTCACGTATCTTGTTCTTCCATCTCAGTCTGTTTTTCCTATTTCATTTCAACTCCATTTTACCTCTAGACAAATTAAATTATCTCATGGTCTTCTCTCCTATGACCTTTACTTCCTTGTATATGCTGATGACCCCCAAATTTATACTTACACTGCAGTTCTCTTATCTTAATCCTGGAATGTATTCACAGTGCCTGTGCCTGTGGCCCCTCTCAGATATCTTGGTGTATGGTGCTGGAACACAAAGATCCCAGAATGTCATTTTCTGTCCATGGGTGATGCCAGATTTTTATTCATGGTAGGGGAAACTGATGAGGTACAACTTAGTTGTTCATGAACATGATATCATTCCAAGTATGTGTTTTTTAAAACTAAATCTGCTCTCACCCATGAAATATTTTTTGGCTTTCTTCCATTATATTATATAGGCCTAATGCTATTTTTCAACAGGTGCACATTATTACACAGAAAGCCAAATTCAAAATAATACTGGACATCTAATTAATAGATCCATGTCTAAATTTAATTTCTTTCCCACAGTGAACACAGACTTTTCAGTGGAGCATTTAATATGTTCCAAATTTTCTGTAGCATTCAATGTGTTCAAAAAACACTCAACTCTCAATGTTTTGTTCTTTCCCACTCAAGTATAGGAAACAAATGGATGTTGTGTGCCATATCCTTGTATTTGTTACATCCATGTGGAGTGGTTTCTCTCTCAACTCCTTGCCTGATGACCTGCTGTATTTTTGTACCCACTTTTCAAGTCCCCTGGGTGCTCACTTACAGCATGTCATAAATATACTCTTAACTATCTCATTGTATCAAATATACTCTTAACTATCACATACTCCTTGCTTGTGGTTATTATTTCATCATGGTTTTAAGATATATCAATAAATGAAAATGGATCAAGTTTGGAATATTGCAAAATTGGTTTTATAATCTTTTTTTAAAGATTTATTTATTTATGCATAGAAGAACTGGGGTACAGGCCAGAGTTGGGGGTGGGAGGTGAGAGGATTCACCAGAGACAGAGTGGCAAGCATAACAGGCAGACTGAGTAAAATACACTGCTGAGGGGAGCAGCGGGTGAGACAGAAGAGGTCTGCTGAGCCACGTGGGTTGCTCCCTGGCTGGGGATCGAACTCGTGCTGCAGTGGGTGTGGATCATTTTACAGGCTGCGTCCTAACCCCTGCGCCACCAGGGAGGCCCAGTGTTTTATTATTCTTTATCAGTAGATTTCATAAACAAAATGAACTTACATAATTTCTTTTTTTAAGTAGGGTACCTGAGCTACAGAAGAAAGTAGTAAAGGAAAGCCAAAGTGATGCAAGGTCTTCAGAATCTTTGGACCTATCTATTAGGAAACCTGTTGCTGTAGTTCCAAGGAATGTCAATGATGGGAAACATCAACCAGATGAGAATGTCACAAAGTAAAATCTCTATTCCTCCTTTCTGGTTAAAGGAATACTGGCTGTGACAGATTTTCTGAAATGAAAGAGCCTGTTGTAGTGGACAGGCCAAAACCTATCACTAGTGTCAGACAAATACTACTGAAAGGTGGACAGCTTGCCCTGTGAGCATTTGGTCAATTCATAGAAGGAATGTTGTTTTCCAAGTCTGTGTAACATTTAGGGAGTAAGTTCACACTCATCAGGTGCTATATTACCACATGACATCCACCACCCAAACAGCCCTAGTGCTTTGCTCTTGACCTTAGGCTCCCCCCTAATGTTCCCATCCCCCCATCCCTTGTGCTCCTCTTCTAGTGACTCCCTCCTCTTGTCCTGTATCTTGGTTTGTTTTGGCTTAATTTATCCAGTTCCTTTTTTAGTGTCTCTGTGGAGGAGATGTATTGCTATGAACACATTAATTTTGATTAAGCATCCATTCATAAATTCAATAGATATAATCATTCCAATCAATGCAAATGCCTTCAGGAGACTTTAATTTTCCTATACATGTACTTTCCTAAAGCTTGCTTGCTTTTTTTTTTTAAGTATTCATTTTATTTTTTTATGAATACAAGAATTGGGGTATAGGCCAGAGGTGTAGGGATTGAGAGGATTCACCAGAGACAGAATGGGGAGCAGAACAGGCAGATCTGCTGAAATACACAGCTGAGGGGTGCAGCAGGTAAGACAGGGGTGGCCAGCTGCACCAGGTGGATAGCTCCCTGGGCAGGGATCAATCTCATGCTACAGTGGCTGGCGATAGCTGGATAGTGTTGAGACTTAACCCCTGAGCCACCAGGGAGGTCCCTCCAATATTGCTTTCTAAAGCTTACCACTGATTTTCCACTTTGAGATATTGACAGATCCCATTTTATATGGATGGGCTTTATTTGCCTCAATGAAACTCTCTCTTCTCCAACATAATTTCTTCATCTGACTCTGGGCTTTGGTATTTTGAAGGGGAGAACATACTTATCAGATGCCCCCCCCCATATCTTGTTCTTCCATCTCAGTCTGTTTTACCTATTTGTTTTCAACCCCATTTCCTACAGACAAATGGAAGTCTCCCAGGATCTTCTGTCTCAAATGTTACTTCATGAATATGCTCATGATCTGATAAATTATTTTATAGATCAGATCCCTTACCTTAATTTCTGGAATGTATTCCAGCATCTGCAGCCAAGGCTCCTCTCAGATCCCTGGGTGTATGTACTGGACCGTTCACCTCACAAATCCAATTATTTTTTTGTCCATGGGTGATGCCAAATTCTTGTTCTTGGTGGGGAAACTGATGAGGTACATGTCCAAACATTTAAGCATGACCCTTAGGAAACACAGAGATGTGATGTGCTTATCTTACTGTTTACATTGTAATCTCGGTGGCGAGATTTCTCCTCCAACTGCTTCCCTGGTGACTTGCTGTATTTGTTGTTTTCTTTTTTGCCTATGCTGTCAAATCTCCTAGTTGCTACCTACAGGGTACTCTAACTATCACATTGTGTATCACAATTGTACATGTGACTTTGAAGCAAGGAGTATTTTCTTTGCTTATGGGTGTTACTTCCTCATGGTTTTAAGAATATATCAATGAATAAAGATGGAATTTTTTAAAAGTTGTTTTATTATATTTAATGAGTAGATTTCTTAGAAACCATGAAGTTTACATGGTTTCTTCCTTTAAAGTAGGTTTTCAGACAAACAGAACAAGCCAAGCCAAAGTGATTCAAGGCCTTCAACAAAATCTGCGGGTCTAGCCGGTATGAAGCCTGTTGTGATTCCAGTGAATATAGATGGTGGGAGATGGGAACCACATAAGAATATCACAAGGTAAAAATCAACTCTTCCTTCAAGGTTCAAGGAAAATTAGCTGTGAATGCTCTTCTGAAATTAAACAGCATATTGCACTTGTCAAGCCAAGGCGAAAGTCCTCACCATTATCAGACAAATACAGCTAATACTTGAGTGATATGGCCCAATGAGTTTTGGTTACTGCATAGAGGGAACATTGTTTTTGAAGCCTGCATATGTTTTGGGAGACATGTTCCCACCTTATCAGATGAATATTACTGCCAACAGCAACCACCAATGTATCCATACTGCTTTACTGTAGACCTTGGTCCCCTCCTAGTTTTGTTCTAACCCCCAATGCTTTGTGATCCTTTTCTAGTGCACTCAGTTGTAGTCCTATATTCTTGGCTTGTTTTGTCTTGTTTTCTAGTACCTTTGTTTTGTGACTGTGAGGAGGAGATGCATTGCATACATACTTTAATATCTTTCTGCATCCATTCATAAGCTCAATAGATTAAATTCTATATGGAAACACAATCAGGAGTCTTTAATGATCATATGAATTTGTTTCAATGATCATATGAATTTTTTAATTAATTTGCTTTAATGATCCTATGAAGTTTTGAATTTCCCTTTACTTTTCTGATAATGTGTGTCACATGGAGCTGATTAGAAAAGAAGTAGGCTATTACCAATATTACTGAAATACTAAATAATCATGATTGTGTATTCCAAACTAGTCAAACAAAGAATTGTGACCTACCATAGTATGCCATGAGCTCTTAAGGCCTACAAAACTACCTATCCCAAAATTCTCTCATTTTCACTCTTGGACTTTGACCAGTAATGGTCCCACTCATTCCTGCTTCAAAAATTACTTTCTAGTGGTTGCCACAGATTTTTCACTTTGTGATATTGACACATGGCTTTTTAGACTCATGAGCTCTGTCTGCCTCAATGGAAATCACTCTCCTTCAACATAATTTCTTCATTTGGCTCTATGCTGTGGTAATTTCAGGGGAGAACTCACTTACCTGGCATCCTACATCCATTTCTTGTGCTTTGACTTCAATCTGTTTTTCCTACCTCTTTTCAACCCCATTGCCTTTGCACAAATGGAAGTATCCCAGGTCTTCTGTCCATGACTTTTACTTCCATGAATATGCTAAAGATGTCCAAGGTTATAGTTACATTACAGATATCTTAATTCCCGATCTGCACTTACTGCACTTGGAGCTGGGGCTCCTCTCATGATGTGTGGTTTTGGGTCACTGAGGACATAAAGGCAATTATTTTTGTCTATGACAGATGACAAATTGTTGTTTTGGGTAGGGGAAACTTAATTTGGACATGACACTGATGTCATTCCATGATTTGTGCATGGAATATTTCAAAAATAAATCTTTTTTCACCCATTAGAATTTATCAGAGATCTTCTAAATATATGTTCCTAGTACTATTTCAATTAGGTACACATTTTTACATTAAAAAAACACAAAGGCCAAAGAGCAGTACACATTTAATTAGTCTCTTGTCTAAGCATCCATCAGTTTTCACAGTGAACTCAGACTTTTCAGTGTAGCATTCAAAATGTTTCAAAATTTCTGGGTACACTGAATTCTCAGTTATTGTTCTTTCCCTTTCAAGTTTAGGAAACACAGAGATGTGATGTGTGCCCTGTCCTACTGTTTACGTTCTATTGTCTATGTAGAGTGGTTTCTCCACCCATACCTTTGGTGGCCTGCTGTATTTCTATTACCCGCTGTGTGAAGCCTCACAGGTGCTCACTTAAAGCATGTCCTAAATGTGCTCTTAACTATCACATTGTGTCATAATTGTACATGTGGCTTTGAAGCGAGGAGTATTCTCCTTGCTTATGGTTATTACTTCATCATGGTTTTCAGAATGTATCAGTGAGTGAAGTGGATAATGTTGGAATTTTGTAAAAGTTGTTTCATTACACTTTATCTTAGAAAACATGAGGTTTACATGGTTTCTTCTTTTAAAGTAGGGTTGCTGACAATGGGAAGAAGACAACCCAATGTGATTCAGCATTTTTATCAGAATCTGTGGTTGTAGCCAGTACGAAGCCTGTTGTGATTCCGGTGAATGTAGTCGGCGGGAGACATGAACCAGATAAGAATGGCACAAGGTAAAAACAACTCTTCCTTTAAGGTTCAAGGAAAATTAGCTGTGATTGTTTTTGTCAGGCCAAGGCAAAAAAATGTCACCATTATAGGCAAACACTGCTGAAAGTCGAATGATGTAGATCATTGTGTTTTTGTCACTTCATCAAGGCAGGGTTGTTTTCCAAGCCTCTGTGTGCTTTAGGGGATATGTACACACCTCATCAGGTGACTGTTGTGCCTGACATCCACAACTAATGCCCCATAATGCTTTACTATAGACACTAGGCCCCACCCCTATTTTATTCTCCTCCCAACACCTTGTGCTTCAGTCGTATGTTCTGTTTTTTTTCAGTTTTCTAGTTCCTTAGCTTAGTGACTGTGCAGGAGACATAGTGCAGTAAATACTTTAATATCTATCCATCATCAATTCATAAATTCAGTAAATAGATTCAAGTCAATAAAAGGAAATGCAATCAAGATATAATTTCTGTAATGATCTTTTTTTTTTTTTCAATTTTCCTTCACATTGTTGACCATTGTGTGTCACATCAGGTGGTTAGAAAAGAAGCTGACTATTAAAGAAATACCAAATAATCATTACTGTGTATTTGCAACTATTAAAATAAGAAGAATTGTGTATTCCATGAGCTCTTTCAGGCTTACAGAACTATCTATACCCAGTTTCTCTTGTTTTCACTTTTGAACTTTCACCAGTAATGGGCCCATTCATGCCTGCTCCAAACTTGCTTTCTAAAGATTACAAAGATTTTTCACTCTATGATAACAAAACATGCCTTTTTAGACCCATGGGCAATGTCTGCCTCAATGGAAACCATTGTCCCACCATATAATATTTTCATTTGACTCTAGGCTCTGGAAATTTCAGGGGGAGACCTCACTTACCAGGTGTCCCCCTTCCATTTCTTATTTTTTGATCTCAGTCTGTTTTTCCTGTTTCTTTTCAATCCCATTTCCTTTAGACAAATTGAAGTATCCCATGATCCTCTGACCCGTGACTTTTATTTTCTTGAAAATGCTAAAGGTGTCCAAAGTTTTATTTCTGCTCAGATCTTATCTTAATGCCTGGCATGTGCTCACTGCACCTGCAGCTGGGCTCCTCTTTGGGTATCTGGTAGTAGATCACTCAGGTCAGAAAGGCATTTTTTTTTTGTCCATGGATAAATCCAAATTGCTTTTCTTAGTACAGGAAACTGATGAGGTACAACTTATTTGGATGACTCTGAGTCATTTCCGAGATATGTGTATTGAATATTTGAAAGTAAATCTATTTCACTGACAAGAATTTCTCGGAATTCTTCCGGTATATGTTCCCATATATTTTTCAATCAGGTGCACATTATTACATTATTAAAACAAAAGCCAAAGAACAGTACACATTTAATTATTAGTCTCCTGTCTAAGCATCAATAGTTTTCCACAGTGAACTCATCTTTTCAGAGTAGCATTCAATATGTTTCAAAATTTCTGGGTGCACTCAACTCTCAAAATGTTATTCTTATCCTGTCAAATTTGGGAAACACATTGATGTGATGTGTCCTATCTAGTGCTTACGTTGTTATCTCCATGTCATATGGTTTCTCCCCCAGCTCCTTGCCTGGTGTCTTGTTGTATTTTTATACCCACTATTACAGCCTCCCTGGTACTCACTTACAACATGTCATAAATGTCCTCTTAATGATCACATTGTATCAAACTGTTCTTGTGAGATTGAAGCAAGGAGTGTTTTCCTTGCTTATAGTTGTTACTTCATCATGGTTTTAAGAACATATCAAGGAGTGAAGGTGGATAATGTTGGAATTTTTAACAATTTTTTATTTATACTTTATTAGTACGTTATTTACAAAACATGAGGTTTACATGGTTTACTCTTTTAAATTAGTGTTCCAGACACACAGAAGAATAAAAGCCAAAGTGATACGTGGTCTTCATCAGAATCAGAATCTGAGCCACAAGCCAGTGTGAAGCCTGCTGTTATATTTCCAGTGAAGGTAGACAGTAGGAGACTTAAACCAGATGAGAATGTCACCAGGTAAAAATGAGCTATTCCTTTACGATTCAAGGAAATTTTTCTGTGATTGCTTTTCTGATCAAACAGCATGTTGAAGCTGTGAGGCCCAGGGGGAAAAGATGTTACCATTATCAGACAAATACTAAAATTTGAATGATGTGGACCAATCACTTTTTTGTCACTTCCTAGAGAGAAGCATGTTTTCCAGTCTGTGTATTGTTTGGGGGATAAGTTACTACCTCATCAGATGAATGTTATGCTGATACCTACCACCAATGCATCCATACTGCTTTACTGCAGAACTTGGGCCCCTCCCTGTTTTGTTCTAATCCCCCAATTTCTCTTGCTTCCCTTCCAGTAGACTCATTTCTGTAGTCCTGTATCGGAGTTGTTTTTGTTTGTTTGTTTAGTTTTAAGCCCCTTCATGCACATTTACATTGAAAAAACAACCTGGGGGCTTCCCCTGGTGGCACAGCAGTTGAGCGCTGGTCGGCCAAGCTGCCTGCAGCCTCTGCAGAGCTGGTTCGATCCCAGCCACCAGCGAGTGTCTCATATGGTACCACAGATTCTACTGCCATGCCCACTGTTCCCCTCAGCAGTGTATTTCCTCAGTCTACCGGTTCTGTTCCCTGCGTGGCTCTGGTGAATTCTCTTACGCTCTGGGCTTCAGACTATACCCAGTGCTTGTAAAAATAAATAAATAAATTAAAAAAAAAAAAACCAACCGGAGCCAGGAACTGTCCACATTTTATTATAATTCTCTTGTCTAAGCATCAGTATTTCTCTATAGTGAACTCAAGGCTTTTGAGTGTTGCATTCAGTATTTTTCAAAATATCTGGGTGCACTCAAATCTCCGTGTATTGTTCTCTCTGTTTAACGTTCAGGAAACTCATTGATGTGGTGTGCCCTAGCCTAGTGTTTCTGTTATTATCTCCATGTGGAGTGATTTCTTCCCCAACTCCTTGCCTGGTGACCTGCTTTGTTTTTGTTTCAACCTCTGTAATGGCTCCCAGGTGCTCACTTACAACATGTCATAAAGGTACTCTGAACTATCACATTGTATCAAATAGTACTAGTGGCTTTGAAGCAGGGAGTATTTTCCTTTCTTTATGGTTATTACTTTCATCATGGTTTTAACAATATATACAGGAGTGTAGATGGGTAAGTGTTGGAATTTTGTAATAGTTGTTTTTAGTAGATTTATTAGTAGATTTATTAGTAGATTTCTTAGAATCCTTTGAGGTTTACATGGTTGCACTTTTAAAGTAGGGTGCCTGACAAACAGAAGAAAAGCCAAAGCAATTAGTTGCCTTCATCAGTATCTGAGGGTCTAGCTTGTGTGAAGCCTGTTGTTGTATTCGAGTGAATGTGAATGGCAGGAGACGTGAACCAGAGGAGAAAGTCACTTCCAGCATGTCATAAATGTCCTCTTAATGATCACATTGTATCAAATTGTACTTGTGTGTTTGAAGCAAGGGGTGTTTTCCTTGCTTATGGTTGTTTCTTCATTATGGTTTTAAGAATATATCAGGGAGTGAAGGTGGGTAATGTTGGAATTTTTAACAATTTTTTGTTTATACTTTATCAGTACATTATTTAGAAACCATGCGGTTTATATGGCTTCTTCTTGTAAAATAGGGTTCCAGACACACAGAAGAATAAAAGCCAAAGTGATACATGGTCTTCATCAGAATCAGAATCTGAGCCACAAGCCAGTGTGAAGCCTGCTGTTGTATTTCCAGTGAAGGTAGACAGCAGGAGACTTAAACCAGATGAGACTGTCACCAGGTAAAAATGTGCTATTCCTTTAAGGTTCACGGAAATTTATCCGTGATTGCTTTCTGATCAAACAGCATATTGAAGCTGTGAGGCCCAGGGGGAAAGATGTTACCATTATCAGGCAAATAATACTAAAATTTGAATGATGTGGACCAATGAGTTTTTTGTCACTTCCTGGAGAGAAGCATGTTTTCCAGTCTGTGTATTATTTGGGGGATAAGTTACTACCTCATCAGATGAATGTTATGCTGACACCTACCACCAATGCATCCAATGCATCTGCTTTACTGCAGACCTTGGTCCCCTCCCTGTTTTGTTCTAATCCCCCAATGTCTCGTACTTCCCTTCTAGTAGACTCATTTCTGTAGTCCTGTATCCAGGTTTTGGTTTTTTTTTTTTTTTTTTTTTTTTTTTTTGGCGTAGGCTACATCCCTTAGTTTAGTGACTCTGGAGCAGTTGTATTGCAATAAATATATTAATTTCTCTTTAGTATATATGCATTAATACAATAAATAGATTTAATTTAATAAATGGAATTGCATTAGAGGATGTCAGCTTGTTTGATCGTCCATGCTTTTAAAATTTTTCTGTCAATTTTTTTGACCATTGTATGGCACATGCAGGTGGTAGGAAAAGAAGTAGACTTTTATAGAAATACCAAATAATCTTTATAATGTATTATCAACTATTCAAACTAGAAGAATTGTGACCCAACCATATCCCACGAGCTCTTTAAGACTTACAGAGCTACGTATCTCCAGTATATCTTGTTTTCATTCTAGAACTTTCATCAGTAATGGGCTGTCTTATGCCTGCTCCAAACATGCTTTCTAAAGGTTACAAAGATTTTTCACTCTATAATAATGACACATGCTTCTTTAGACTCATGGACAATGTCTGCCTCGATGGAAATCACTGTGTTCCAACATAATTTTTTCATTTGACTCTAGGCTCTGGTGATTTCAGGGGGAGAACTCATCAGGTAGCTCCCTCCCATATCCTTTTTTTCACACCAGTGTGTTGTTCCTATTTCTTTTCAGTCCCATTTCATTTAGACAAATTGAAGTATCCCAGGATCTTCTGTCCCATGACTTTTACTTCCCTGAAAATGCTAAAAATGTGGGCCTCCCGGGTGGCACATCTTCATAAGATGCAACCTGTGAAGCTATCTGCAGTCACTGCAGCACAAGTTAGATTCCCCTGTCAGGGAGGTGACCCACATGGTGCGGCAGACATCTCCTGTCTCGCCCGCTGCTCCCCTCGGTAGTGTATTTCAGTCAGACCCCCTTTTTTGAATCTCACTCTGTCCCTGGTGAATCCTCTCACCTCCCACAATTTTGGCCTGTACCCCAATTCTTGTATATATATATATATACAAGTGGCTTTGAAGCAGGGAGTATTTTCCTTTCTTTATGGTTATTACTTTCATCATGGTTTTAACAATATATACATGAGTGTAGATGGGTAAGTGTTGGAATTTTGTAATAGTTGTTTTTAGTAGATTTATTAGTAGATTTATTAGTAGATTTCTTAGAATCCTTTGTTTATTCATTATGGTTTTATATATATATAAATCTTTTTTAAAAAGAGAATATTAAAGATGCTCAAAGTTACGTTTCTGCTCAGATCTTATCTAAATTCCTGACATGCACTCTCTGCACCTGCAGCTGGGGCTCCTCTCTGGGTATATGGTAGTAGATCATGCAGGTCAGAAAGACAATGTTTTTGTCTATGGGTGATGCCAAATTGTTGTTCTTAATATAAGAAACTGATGAGGTGCAACTTATTTGGATGACCCTGAGTCCAAGATATGTGTATTGAATATTTAAAAATAAATCTTTTTTCACCCACAAGGTGTTCTCCAATATATGATCTAGTACTATTTTTCCATCAGGTGCACATTTACATGAAAAGAACAACAGGGGCCAGGAGCTGTCCACATTTTATTATAATTCTCTTGTCTAAGCATCAGTATTTCTCTATAGTGAACTCAAGGCTTTTGAGTGTTGCATTCAGTATGTTTCAAAATATCTGGGTGCACTCAAATCTCCGTGTATTGTTCTCTTCTGTTTAACGTTCAGGAAACTCATTGATGTGGTGTGCCCTAGCCTAGTGTTTCTGTTGTTATCTCCATGTGGAGTGATTTCTTCCCCAACTCCTTGCCTGGTGACCTGCTTTGTTTTTGTTTCAACCTCTGTAATGGCTCCCAGGTGCTCACTTACAACATGTCATAAAGGTACTCTGAACTATCACATTGTATCAAATAGTACTAGTGGCTTTGAAGCAGGGAGTATTTTCCTTTCTTTATGGTTATTACTTTCATCATGGTTTTAACAATATATACAGGAGTGTAGATGGGTAAGTGTTGGAATTTTGTAATAGTTGTTTTTAGTAGATTTATTAGTAGATTTCTTAGAATCCTTTGAGGTTTACATGGTTGCACTTTTAAAGTAGGGTGCCTGACAAACAGAAGAAAAGCCAAAGCAATTAGTTGCCTTCATCAGTATCTGAGGGTCTAGCTTGTGTGATGCCTGTTGTTGTATTCGAGTGAATGTGAATGGCAGGAGACGTGAACCAGAGGAGAAAGTCACTTCCAGCATGTCATAAATGTCCTCTTAATGATCACATTGTATCAAATTGTACTTGTGTGTTTGAAGCAAGGGGTGTTTTCCTTGCTTATGGTTGTTTCTTCATTATGGTTTTAAGAATATATCAGGGAGTGAAGGTGGGTAATGTTGGAATTTTTAACAATTTTTTGTTTATACTTTATCAATACATTATTTAGAAACCATGAGGTTTATATGGCTTCTTCTTGTAAAATAGGGTTCCAGACACACAGAAGAATAAAAGCCAAAGTGATACATGGTCTTCATCAGAATCAGAATCTGAGCCACAAGCCAGTGTGAAGCCTGCTGTTGTATTTCCAGTGAAGGTAGACAGCAGGAGACTTAAACCAGATGAGACTGTCACCAGGTAAAAATGAGCTATTCCTTTAAGGTTCGCGGAAATTTATCCGTGATTGCTTTCTGATCAAACAGCATATTGAAGCTGTGAGGCCCAGGGGGAAAAGATGTTACCATTATCAGACAAATACTAAAATTTGAATGATGTGGACCAATGAGTTTTTTGTCACTTCCTGGAGAGAAGCATGTTTTCCAGTCTCTGTATTATTTGGAGGATAAGTTACTACCTCATCAGATGAATGTTATGCTGACACCCACCACCAATGCATCCATAGTGCTTAACTGCAGACCTTGTGCTTAACTGCAGACCTTGGTGCTTAACTGCAGAACATAGTGCTTAACTGCAGACCTTGGTCCCCTCCTTGTTTTGTTCTAATCCCTCAATGTCTCGTTTTCCCCTTCTAGTAGACTTATTTCTGTCGTCCAGATGTTTTTGTTTGCTTGTTTGTTTGTTTATTTTTCAGCCCCTCTGTGGACTTACATTAAAATAAAAACAACAGGGGCTAGGAACTATTCACATTTTACTATAATTCTCTTGTCTAAGCATTAGTATTTTTCTACAGTGAACTCAAGGCTTTTGAGAGTTGCATTCAGTATGTTTCAAAATCTGGGTGCACTCAAATCTCCGTGTATTGTTCTCTCTCTTTAATATTCAGGAAATTTCATTGATTTGGTGTGCCCTATCCTAGTGTTTCTGTTGTTATCTCCATTTGGAGTGATTTTTTTCCCCAAATCCTTGCCTGGTGACCTGCTGTGTTTTTGTTTCCACCTCTGTAATGCCTCCCAGCTGCTCACTTACAACATGTCTTAAATGTACTCTAAAAAACTATCACATTGTATCAAATAGTACTAGCGGCTCTGAAGCAGGGAGTATTTTCCTTTCTTATGCTTATTAATTCATTATGATTTTAAGAATGTATACATGAGTGAATATGGATAAGTGTTGGAATTTTGTAATAGTTGTTTTGTTATGCTTTATTAGTAGATTTCTTTGAAACCATGAGGTACACGGTTGCACTTTAAAGTCGGGTGCCTGACAAACAGAAGAAAGGCCAATGTGATTCTTTGCCATGATCGTTATCTGAGGGTCTAGCTGGTGTGAAGCCTGTTGTTGTATTTCCAGTGAATGTTGATGGCAGGAGACATGAACCAGATGAGAGTGTCACCAGGTTAAAATTAACTCTTCCTTGAAGGTTCAAGGAAAATTAGCTGTGATTGCGTTTTTTAAATCAAACAGCACATTGCAGTTGTCAGGCAAAAATTATCTTGCCATTATAGATAAATACTGCTGACAGTTTAATGATGGGGACAAATGAGTTTTGGTCTCTCATAGGGAGAACATTGTTTTCCCATCGTGGGTATGTTTTGGGCGATATGTTCCCATCTCATCAGATGTATGGTATTGCCCGACACCCATCACCCATGCCAGTATTGCCTTACTGTAGATCTTAGGCCCTGTCCTGGTTTTGTTCTCTGCACAATCCCTTTTGCTCATCTTCTAGTAGACTCCTAACTGTAGTTTTATATCCTGTGTTTGATTTGTTTACTTTTCTAGTTCCTTTGTTCAGTGACTGTGAGGAGGAGATGCATTGCAATCAATACTTTAATATCTAATCAATATCTATTCATAAATTAAATACATAGATTAAATCCAATAATGGACACAATCAGGGGAGGTTTGCATTATTGATCATATGAATTTTTGAATTTCCCTTCACTTTGCTGATCATTGTATGTCACATGCAGGTAATTAGAAAAGATGTCAACTGTTACAGAAATACTAAGTAATCATGGTTGTGCATTGCAAACTAGTCAAACAAGAAGAATTGTGACCCACCATGGTATGCCATGAGCTCTTTAAGGGCCACAGAACTATCTGTCCCGAGTTTCCCTTGTATTCACTCTTGAATTTACACCAGTAATGGTCCCACTCATTGTTTGTTCCCTGACCTCAGACTCTTTTTCCCACTTCTTTTCAAAGCCCATTTCCTTTGGACAAATTTAAATACCTCAAAATATTCTGTCTCATGTTTTTTACTTCCTTCTATATGCTTATAATCCCCAGTTTTATTTTGGTACTGCAGACATCTTACCTTAATTCCTATCATGTCCTCACTCAGCCCGTGGCTAGGGCTTCTCTCATATTTGGCAGTGAACTAAGACTACTTGTGTAGCTTTCAAGATATATCAGAATTTCTGGGTCACTCATCTCTCAGTGTTTTGATCTTACACTTTCAAGTTTTTGGGAACACATAGTTGTGATGTGCCTTATCTTTGTATGCATGTTGTAACCTCCATGTGGAATGATTTTCTTCCCTCTGTGTCTTCTTACCTCCTCTGCAAAGCTTCCATTGTGCTCACTTTCAGCATGCCATATATGTGCTCTTAGCTATCAGATAGTATCATGATTGCATATCTGACTTTGCAGCATGGGGTTTGTTTCCTTGCTTTTCATTTTTACTTCTTCATAAATATTTCAAAAATTAATCAATGACTAAGTTGTGGTATTTATAAAAGATGTTTTATTAGTCTTTATCAGAAGATTTCTTAATAAACATTAGCTTTTACATGGTTTGTTTTTTAAAGGACGGATCCTAGCTTGCAGAAGAATGTAGTAAAGGAAAGCCAAACTGATCCATGGTCTTCACCAGATTATGTGGGTCAAGTCAGCGAGCAGGCTGGTGCTGAACTTCCAGTGAATGTAGATGCCAGGAGATATGACTCAGATGAGAATGCCAGAAGGTAAAATCCATAATTCTCCCTCTAATTTTAAAGGAATATTAGCAGTGATTGTTTGTTTGGAAATTAAGCAGCATGGTATAGTGTGCTAGGCAAAGTATGAGAAGGCTCAGCCTTTTCAGACAAATACTGCTGAAAGTGGAAAGAGGAGGTCCAGTGACATTTTCTTATTTCACTGAGGGAACATTGTTTTTCAAGCCTCTGTATGTGTGGTGGGATAGGTTCACACATCGCAAGATGTACTTTACCACAAGACACCCACCATCACAACACTCATAGTGCTTTAGTGTAGATCTGGGCTCCCTCCCTGTTCTGTTTTCTCTGTCTCCTGTCACCGTATAGTAGCATCAGTTCTGCAGCCATATTTCCAGGGGCTGTTTTGGTTTAATTTTGCTTGTTTCTTTGTTTAGTTATATTGTGGAGGAGCTGTTTTACATTAAATACTTTGTTTTGTATGAAAGATTCAATGAATAGATTCATTTCCATGAATGGAAACATTTCAGAAACCTTGCTTTCTTAATTTTATAAATATTTTGAATTGGTCTGCCATGTTTACCAATTATTACCACATTGAGGTAATTAAGAAAAATTTTAGTTAATAAAAAGTCCTGAATAATCACTATTGGGTGTTGGAATCTACAGTAAAACAAGAAGAGAACAGGATCCTCCACTGTCATACTACTTAGCTAAGTCCTAGAGCACCATCCATCCTCCTCCTCATTTTCACTTTGAATTTGCGCCAGTAAATTTCTTACCCACCCCTCCTCCAAAGTTGCTTTTTAAAGATTACTGCCAATTTTTCACATCACTGTATCCACACATACTGTTTTAGACTGATAGGCTAAATTTGCCTTAATGGAAATCTCTTTACTGCAACATTGCTTTCATTTGATTACAAGTCTGGCATTTTCAGAGGGAGAACTCACTTACCTGTGTCCCTGATGTATTTCCTTTTCTTCTACCTCAGTCTGTGTTTCCTAGCTCTTCAACTCCACCCTCCTTTTGAGTAAAATAAAAATCCTAGGATTCAGTCCTTGATCCTCTGTCACATGACTTTTATTTCCTTATATTTATTAATGATACCAAAATGATATTTCCACTTCAGATCTTTTTTCTTGATTACTGAAATCAAATCCCTTGCTGGATATCATTCTTTTTGATGGTTGGTTGTTGTTATGCAAGTTTCCCTTTTCTCCAATTGAATTACTGATATTGTTTCTCACACCAGTTCTTCTGTTCATGTCTTCACTCTTGCAGAGTATTAGTTCTTTAGTGGCATCTCTTGTTCTGTCAATGTGTTGGGTGTCACTTCGGTTGTTATCTTTCTCTTTCTTTTGCTTCTGACATTGAATCTGATGGTCAATCTTGTCAGGTTTCCCTGCCAAATATATCCCGAAGCCAATATCCTGTTACATGTTGAATCCCAAATCATCTGCTCTCTTTACTAGTGTCCGAAACTTTTATTTGGTTTCTTAGTATCTGTCTTTTTTACTCTTTAAAATCAGTGGCCTATTTTGACATAGCAAAGATTATGCTGTTCCTCTGTTTTGACTCCCTCTTCAGTCAGAGTACATGCCAATGTTCTTCAAATACAAAGCAACCCCTACACTTTCTTTCCTCTTAGATCAGTTTCTGTCTCCCTGAAGTCTCTGTCTCTCACTGTCACTTGAATTTCCATATTCTAGGGGGTCTCCGTGGTGGCATAAGGGGTTGAGCAAAATACTGTAAAGCTATCCACAGCCTCTGCAGCATGAGTTTGATCCCTGGCCGGCCAGGGAGGTGACCCATGTGGCACAGCAGACCTCTCCTGTCCTACCCTCTGGTCCCCTTAGCAGTGTATTTCAGTCAGTCTACCTGTTCTGTTCCCCACTCTATCTCTGCTGAATCCTCTCACCACCCCCCGACACCTCTGACCTGCACCCCAGTTAATGTATGCATAAATAAATAAATCTTAAAAAAAAAGGATTTCCATATTCTCTTCCTTCCATTCTGCTCCAACCACGTTGACCTTTTCAACATTCTGTCACCCTGAAGACATACCCCTGAACTTGCTGTTGATTCTAACTGGTATGATTTATCTTCTGATATCCTTATGATTGCTCATTTCATTCCTTCACAAGCTACTTTCTCAGCAATATCTGAGGGGTTGGCCATTTTGAGTCTTATTCTTATACCTTCCCTGCTTACAAACCTCCAAATTTCCTTATCTCTGCTATAGTATACTCTAGCAGGATATATGTTTTGACATCGAGTTCATTGTCTGTTTACTTCATTTTCAAGGGTAGGATTTTGGTCTGATCTCTGCTATTATTTTAGTGCCCAAACTGGGCTGGAATATTATCCCCTGAAGGCTCACTGAGTGAATGGAGTTTAACCTGTGTGTTTTGTTTTACATTTTATACTAATTCTTACTTAGACTAAACAATTTTGTGTGGGTCCCTGGTGAAAGTCTACTTGTCAATTATATGCTCTTTAGGATTCCTTTGGCTCTCTGCAATATGCGGTATTTGCTCTATGAATGTACTGCATTGTGGGGTTTAAGCTCAGTCATATGTTTCCTCACTTTTAAACCTTTTACTGGTCCACTGCTGAGACTGGTCCATGAGCCTGTACACACTGCAACGAAGCTGCTATTCCTCTGAGATCTCTTGTGTATGGGACTGGAGCACTCAACTCTCAGAAAGGCATTATGTTTTGTCCATGGGTGACACCAAATTTTTCTTGGTAGGGAGCCTGATGAATTGTGACTTATTTGATCATGAACCTGAAGTCAAACCAACATATAGGCATTTTCACCCCAGCTCCAGCATATTTCCTGGATTTCCTCATTCATATTGTATGTGTCTAATAGTATTTTTCCATTTACATGTTGTTATATTTAAAAAGAAATTGATAAGCATCGTATATGGTTAATTAGTATTTCCACATCTGTGTGTCATAACTTTGAGTCAGTGAACTCTAGGTTTTAAATTTAGCATTTAGGAGTTTTCAAAATTGCTGTGCTGACTTCTGTTCCAGTATTTTACATTTTGTAACCTGATTGTTCTTCTGTTTTTGTTTTTCCTGTTTCTCTTCAACCCTTCCCATTTTATTTTTATTTTACAAAAGTTGTGTTTTAAATCATCATAAGTGTTTTTTTTTAAAAACATTAGCTTTATTTTGTTTCTTTTTTAAAAGTAATGTTCCTGGCTTGCATAAAAATGGAATAAAGAAGAGCAAAAATGAAACATGTAATTCAGCAGTATCTGTGCCTAAAGTAAGCAGGAAGTCTGGTGCTTTGCATTCAGTGACTGGTGACAGCAGAAGACATGAATCAAGACAGAATAATGGAAGCAATGTCTATAATTTCTTCCTGTATAGGTAAAGGAATATTAGCAGTGATTACTCTTCTGGAACTCAGACTGTATGATGTAGCTTATAGGCTAACACAAGAAAAATCTTACACTTGTCAGACAAATACTGCTGAGAGGTAACAATGAGGACCAGTCAGCTTTGGGTGACTTCACTGAAGGAACGTTGGTTGACAAGCCTGTGTATGTTTGAGGGGACAGGTTCCCACCTCATCAGGTGGATGTTTCCACATGACCCCCACCGCCAAAGCACCCAGAGTGCTTTATCCTAGACCACTGGATTCTCATCCCTGTTCCTTTGTCACCTCCTCCCCTCCTTCCCCTCTTTTAGCCTCAATTCTGTAGTCAAATTTCTAGGGCTTGTTTTGTTAGTTAGCCAGTTCCTTGGTCAGGGACTTTTGTTAGTGAAGCAAGGAGTATGTTTCCTTGCTTATGGTTGTTACTTCACCATGGCTTTCCGAGTCAATAAATGAAGTAGGTTAGATAAGTTTTGGAATTTTTCCTTTTTTTTTTTTTTTAATGTTTACAATAGATTTCCTCTAAAAAGTTTCTTATGGCTTTTTAAATAGAGTTCCTGGCTTGACTAGAAAAAAGAGAAAGAAAAGCACCTATGAAATGAATATGCCAACAGAACCTCTGACAGTAACACATGAGATAGCTGGTGTAGTATTTCCAGAGCAAGGTGACAGCAGGAGACATGAAAACAATCAGGATGTTGGAAGGTAAAATCTATAAATTCTTCCAGTCTTGATAAAGGAATATTAGCAGTGATTACTTTTACTGAAAATAAAACAGCATAATCTGGCATACTTACTGAGGCAAGAGAAAATGAACTTTATCTGAAAGATACTCCTGAAATGCAATAGATGAGGATAAGCAATTTTTTTTTCCTTTTTATTGTAGCATCTCATTTACAACCCTGTCTATATTTTAGGTGATAGGTTCATATCTCTTCACATGTATGTTACCATACATACCACCACCATGATGATTTAAAAAGGTCTCCTTTCATATAAGGACTTGAGCAATACTTCTCAGTTAGGTTTTAGTACCAGTGAAAGCTTGTTTTTTATTGAAAATGACCACCACAAAAAACCCGAGAATATTTTCCTATGAAATCATGTAAATAGCATTGATTTTCCTTTTTGTCTTTTGATTGTTAATTTGAAGTAATTTAATAATTTGTTAATATTACAGTACATCTTTGGTCTTTAATGTCACTCTATTTACTTGGTGTTTAATCCCTTTTTAGGAACATATGGGTTAGAAGATTTTGTATAAAAACAATAGGTTTTGATATTCTTTGTATTTGGCTATTTACTATATGCCTGAAAATAAATCTTTTCTTTTTATAGGCCTGTAAAGAAAACATCTAATGAGAAGAAGGTATAGTAAAGAATAAATAGGGACAAAAATTATTTTGTAGTAAAAATATGTTTTAAAAGATATAAGGAAAAAATAGAAAGTCTTACTTCATTATAAAAATGTTTACTTTAAAAATAATTTATAAATTATAATAACCTATGAAGGTATCCTTTTCATAAAAGTCAGTTTAAGGAGTACCTGTGTTTTTGCTATTATAAAAAGGTGAATATTTATCACCTCTGTACACTTAGCATATTTTCCGATAGTCACCGGACATTTTGAAATATTTTTATTTGTATGTCAAACAGGAAATCAATCCTACGGATGACTCTGATGACATAACTCAGACATCCAAAATAGCCTCAACGGGTTGTGACTCGCTTTACTCTGAACATGAGAACGGTATGTTGTTAATGGAACAACTTTGCATGAATTGTAAAGGGAGGAGCATTGTTTAATTATATATTCTTAATACATGTACTGTAGTGTCACATGCACACTTTGTCTAGTACTGCACTATAGAGCACAGATCTGTTCTCATGTATTCATCTCAGAAATATGTTTATTTTGAGATGAAATGAGAGGTATCGTTTACTTCCAGCCAAAGATCTATGAGAATACCAATGGTAGTTTTTGTTGACTCTGCTCTCTCCTAGGCCTTTCCTTGAAGTCAGATTACCATTATTTCCCTCCTGGAACACTGAAATATCCTGAGATCTGTTTTCCCTGACATTCTACCTCTGGAAACCTTATTCTGTGCTGCAACCATAATTATCATATATATTTTTTAAAATGCAGATTTCATAATGTTACCCCTTCTTTAAAATCGAGCTAGTGTATCTCAATGCTCTAAGGTTAAAGGCCATCATCCACTAGTTGCATTTTGTGTTATTCCATGTCCTTTTCTCATCTGTGTCTCAGTGGCTGTCTGAGTCATCTTTCCTACAATAAGACTTTTTGTTTTCAACAGCTTTTGTTAGGTAAACCATACCTATAGAAAGTGTGTAATTTGATAGTTTTGACATATGTATACAAAGATGAAACCATCCTCACAATCAAGATAGTTAACTCATCTATCATCCCCTCAAAGTCTCCTCAAGCCCCTTTATACTCCCTTCTTAAGAAACTACCAAGTTGTTTTCTAAAGGGCTTGTAGCATTTTCCATTCCCACCCAAAGCTTATGAGAGTTCTAGTTCTTCTATATCTTCATCAACACTCAGTGTTTTGGCAGGTTTTTTTTTAAAGATTTATTTATAAAAGAACTGGGGTACAGTCAGAGGCACAGGAGGGTGAGAGAATTAACCAGAGATAGCGGGGAGCAGAACAGGCAGATTGATGACATTGCTGAGGGGAGTGGCAAGCGAGGCAAGAGAGGTCTGCCTCGCCATGTGGGCTGCTCCCTGGCTGGCCGGGAATCGAACCCGTGCTTCAGAGGCTGTGGACAGCTTCACAGTGTGGTGCTCAACCTGCTACACTACCAGCGAGGCCCTCTTGTCAGTTTTTTAATGTTACCATTCTGATAGGTGTCCAAATATTTATTTTATTGTGGTTTTAGTATGCATTTCCCAAATAACTAATACTATCGAGCATCTTTCTGTATGCTTATTTGCCATCTGTATATCTTCTTTGAACTGTGTCTAAATCTTTTATCATTTAAAAATTATGTTGTTTGTTTTCTTATTAGTTGAGTTTTGAGAGTTCCTTACATTTTCAAATTATAGTTTCTAGATCAACTCTGGTTTTACAAATATTTTCTTCCAGTCTGTGACTTGCCTTTTCATTTTCTTAATATTGTCTTTTTTTTAATAATCTAAACTATATTTAACAATATAACATTTTTAGTAAGTCAACAACAAATAAACAGACTTTAAGTCCAAGACATAGCTGTTTTGTGATAGTAACAAATGGTAGAAGGAAACTTCAAAAAGACTAGAGAAAGAACAGCAAAGAGAAAAAGGAAGCAAGGAAGGGGAAAGAAGGGCAGTCAGAGAAAAAGAGAAAGATAAATTAGAGAAATGAATCATTTATTTTTTTCTTTTTATATTTATTTTTTTTAAATTTTGTATATTTTTACACCATTTTTCATTTTTGTACAATGTATGCATTTTCATCTTGGTTATACTCCCCGTGCAATTCCCAGCACCCTTGTTTTGATCCTACTCCTTTCTCCCCCTCCCTTAGTGTGCCTCTGCTTTATAGTTGCTTATTGATTTTGATTTTTACTTTATTATAATTAGTCTTTTTCCTGATCCCTTATGTAGGTTTTCTAAATTATTGCTATGAGTGAGACCATCTGGTATTTTTCTTTTTCTTTGTGGTTATTTTGCTGAGCATGATCCCTTCCAGCTCCATCCATGTTACTGAAAATTGCATGAGTTTACATTTTTGATTGCTGAGTAATATTCCATTGTGTGTATGTACCACAGCTTCTTGATCCAGTCATCTATTTTGGGGGATTTGGATTGTTTCCATAGCTTAGCTATTCTAAATAGTGCTGCTATAAACATAGGGGTGCAGGTGCCCTTTTGAATTAATGTTTCTGTGTCCTTTGGTTAAATACCTTAGTAGTGGAATTGGCGGATCATATGGAAGCTCCATCGTTAGCAGACTGAGGAATGTCCACACAGTTCCCCATAGTGGTTGGACCATTTTGCATACCCACCAGCAGTGGAGGAGTATTCCTTTTTCTCCACATCCTCGCCAACATTTGTTGTGGCTGGTTTTTTAATATGTGCCATTCTCACTGGTGTGAGATGGTATCTCATTGTAGTTTTGATTTGCATTTCCCTGATTACAAGTGATGCTGTATAATTTTTCATATGCCTGTTGGCCATTTGCATTTCCTCTTTGAAGAAGTTTCTTTTTAGCTCTTCTGCCCATGTTTTGACTAGGTTGTTTACTTTGTTTTTGTTGAGTCTCGTCAGTGCTTTGTAGATTTTTCTGATCAGTCCTTTATTTTTAGTGTTGTGTGCAAAAATTTTCTCCCAGTTAGTGGAGTGTCTCATTGTCTTGGTTACGGTCTCTTTTGCTATACAGAAGCTCTTTAATTTGATGTAGTCCCAGCTGTTTATGTTTTCCTTCACTATCACTGCTTTGGGTGATGATTGTTTAAAGATGTTACTGAGGTAAATATCATGTAGTGTTTTGCCTGTATTTCCTTCTATTTATTTTATAGTTTCAGGTCTTATGTCTAGTTCTTTAATCCATTTTGAGTTGGTATGAGGTATTAGTCAAGCTTCATTCTTTTGCATGTAGCGACCCAGTTTTCCCAGCACCATTTATTGAACAAACTTTCTTTGTTCCATTGCATAGTCTTTGCTCCTTTGTCAAAGACTAGTTGACTGTAAATCTGTGGGTTTGTTTCTGAATTTTCTATTTGGTTCCATTGGTCTGTATGTGTGATACCTCCATTCCTTTTTTTTTTTTTTTTTTTTTCAGGAGGCCTTTGGCTATTTGGGGTTTTTGTTGGCTCTATATGAATTTCATCAATATTTGTTCTATTTCTTTGAAGAATGTCATTGAAATTTTTTTTTTTTTTTGGAATAGCATTGAATCTGTAAATTGCTTTTGGCAGGATGGCTATTTTGATAATATCTGCATATTTAATTACTATCCATTTTTGTATGTTGATTTTGAACTTGCTACTTTGCTATATTCATTTATTGTTTCTAAGAACTTTTTGATAGAGTCTTTGGGATTTTCTAAATATAATATATTATTTGTAAGTAGTGATAGTTTCACTTCTTTCCAACTTGAATCCCTTTTGTTTCTTGATTTTGTCAGATAGTTCTGACCAAAACCTCTAGTACTAAGTTAAAAAGAAGGGGCAACAATGGGCATCTTGGTTTGTTCCCAGTTGTAAGGGGAAAGTTATCAGTTTTTCACCATTGAATATAATGTTGGTTGTTAGTTTGTGATACATAGCCTTTATTATATTGAGGTAGATTCCTTCTATCCTCATTTTGGTTAGAGTTACTATCATAAAATGATGCTTGCTTCATGCATTCTATAGCTAGTATTAAGTTCATAAATGTAGAGGATTATTATCCTTCCTATAGATTAACCCTTCTATTAATGAAATTATCTGGTTTGTTGCTGATTATAGTCTGTACTGTGAAAACTAGTTTGTCTGCTATTAGCATAACCACACCAGCTCAGCTTCCTTTTTTTTAGGTATTAGTGTATATATCTTTTTCCATGTTTTTTTTTTTTCTATGTGTTTTATTTCTTTTTTTTTCTTTTTTTTTAATAATAAATTTTATTTTTATATTCCCCATACAATTGCAGCCCCCCATTCTGACCCCAATCCCTCCCCTCCCACCCCCGCCCCCCTAAAAGTGTCTCTGGTTCGTAGTTTTTTGTTGATTTTGCTTTTCACTTTCTTATAGTTATTCGTTTTCCTGGTCCCTTATTTAAGTTTTCTAGATTCCTGCTATGAGTGAGACCATCCGGTATTTTTCTTTTTCTTTTTGGCTTATTTCGCTGAACATGATCCCTTCCAGTGCCATCCATGTTGCTGCAAATTGCATGTGTTTATCTTTTTTGCATGCTGAGTAATATTCCATGGTATATATGTACCACATCTTCTTGATCCAGTCATCTATTTTTGGGCATTTGGGTTGTTTCCAAAGCTTAGCTATTGTAAACAGTGCTGCTATAAACATAGGGGTGCAGGTGTTCTTTGGAATGGATGTTTCTGTCCTTTGGGTAAATACCTAGGAGTGGAATTGCTGGATCATATGGAAGCTCTATGTTTAGTAGGTCCAGAAATCTCCACACAGCTCTCCACAGTGGTTGGACCAGTTTGCACTCCCACCAACAGTGCAGAAGAGTTCCTTTTTCTCCACACCCTCGCCAACATTTGTTGTTGCTAGTTTTTTTAATATGTGCCATTCTCACTGGTGTAAGATGGTATCTCATGGTAGTTTTGATTTGCATTTCCCTGATGACAAGTGATGTTGAACATTTTTTCATATGCCTGTTGGCCATTTGCATTTCCTCTTCAGAGAAGTTTCTTTTTAGCTCTTCTGCCCATTTTTTGACTGGATTCTTTTCTTTGTTGTTGTTAAGTCTCATCAGCTCTTTGCAGATTTTTGTGATCAGTCCTTTATCATTAGTGTTGTGTGCAAAAATGTTCTCCCAGTTGGTGGGGTTTCTCTTTGTTTTTGTTATTGTCTCTTTTGCTGTGCAGAAGCTCTTTAATTTGATGTAGTCCCAGCTGTTTATCTTCGCCTTCACTATCACTGCTTTGGGTGATGTGTCTGTAAAGATGTCTTTGATGTGCAAATCTCGTAGTGTTTCGCCTATATTTCCTTCTATGTATTTTATGGTTTCAGGTCTTATGTCTAGTTCTTTAATCCATTTTGAGTTGATTTTTGTGTATGGTGTGAGGTAGTGGTCAAGCTTCATTCTTTTGCATGTAGCGACCCAGTTTTCCCAGCACCATTTATTGAACAAACTTTCTTTGCTCCAATGCATAGTCTTTGCTCCTTTGTCAAAGATTAGTTGACCATAAATCTGTGGGTTTATTTCTGAATTTTCTATTCGATTCCATTGGTCTGTATGTCTGTTCTTGTTCCAATACCATGCAGTTTTGATGATTATGGCTTTGTAGTAGAGTTTGAAGTCTGGGAGTGTGATGCCTCCATTCCCTTCTTTTTTTTTCAGGAGAGCTTTGGCTATTTGGGGTTTTTTGTGATTCCATATGAATTTCATCAATAATTGTTCTATTTCTTTGAAGAATGACATTGAAATTTTGATTGGAATAGCATTGAATCTGTATATTGCTTTTGAAAGGATGGCCATTTTAATAATGTTTATTCTTCCAATCCATGAGCAGGGGATGTCTTTCCATTTCTTTGTGTCTTCTTCTATTTCTTTTAACAGTGTTTTATAGTTTTCTTTGTATAGGTCCTTTACCTCTTTTGTTAGATTTATTCCCAAATATTTGATTTTTTTTGTTTCAATAAAAAAAGGGATGTTTTTTTTGATTTCTTCTTCTTCAGATTTATTGTTTGTGTATAGGAAGGCTACTGACTTTTGCGTGTTGATTTTGTTCCATGTTTTTAAGAAATGTGTGCCTTTATTTTCAACTTGCATTTCTTGTAGGTGGCATTTAAGTTGGACTTGCTATTTGATTCAGTTTGATCATATGCCATTACATTGAAGTTTTCATATCATTTTCTTTTAATGTAATTGTTAATATATACAGTTAGGTTTAATCTGTTATCATGCTGATTGATTTCTGTTTGCCTCACCAGCTCTTTGTTCCCCTTCTTTTATTTCCTTCTAGAATATCAAGTGATTTGTATGACTTACTTTATTTCCTTATATTAGATAATTAGCTGTAACTCCTTTGTTTCGCTCTTTTAGTGGTGGCTGTAGCATTTATAGCATATGACTAACTTACCACATTCAGGTAATACTATATGATATCATATGTAATATGACAAAATTACAGCAGTTTACTTTTTTCCTGTCCTACACAAATACTACCTGGGACTGTGGAACTATAGTTTTCATTAAGTTTAGAAAGTTTGTGGTCATTTTTTTCAAAATACTTTTTTCCTTTCATTTAAAATTTTCTCACAGTTCACCAAGGTCATCCTTACTAGTCTTTTTTGTGTGTGTGATGTATAATATATGTTTATTCCCAACCAGTATATTTGTCATTTCTGATATTATATTTTCATTTCTACAAGTGCTATTTATTTGGGGAAAAATAGCTTCCATGATTCTACTCTTCTATTATTATTATTATTATTATTTAGTTAAGTGACTTATAAACAGTTTGATCCTTCATGGTCTTGCTCTTTTCATCTATTGGGTGAATGCCTGAAGGCTAATTATTTTCCAATACCAAGGCAAGACCTTTCTTACTGCTCTATTCATTGTCCTGTTAATTATAAATTTTTCCAAACTAGCTAAAGGAAGCACCACTATTCCGGGTGGAGTTTATTCTATTCAGTTTTCTCTTCTCCACGGTCACAGGTGGCTTCTTCATATGACTTCACTGCCAGTTATTCTGTTGAATACTCTAGAAGGCCCCTCTGTAGATCTTCAGGGCTCTTTCTTGATTCTGCTCTTTTCTCTTCAGTGATCTGTCCTGTGATCTCTATCTCTTGGTTTCACCAGACCCTCAATTTCATCACCTCACCTAAGAGTATGCGGTAGACTTCACCTTAGTACCTTCTCCCTGTGTCATGATCTGGAAATTATCTTAAGCTAGTGAGCTGTTGAGGCATTGTCTTTCATTGCTTGATGTTCTTTGTCTTGAAAATCATTATTTTTTTATTGTATTTTTTTTGTCTGTTTTGCTATTGCTTGTTTCAGGTAGGAGGGTAAATTAGTACCTGTTACTTCCTCTTGAGTAGAAGCAGATTGCAATAAAACTTCAGCACATGATGTCCCCTACCTAGAGTGGCTTTCTTTCTCCTTTGTTTCTTGCTCCTCCTTCATTCCTCAGGGCAACAGTCTGTTCCTCCAGGGCCTCTTCCCTGGGCCTAATCAAGATCCGGTATTGTCATGTGAGCAAAGAATTTTGTTTTCTTGTAGTATCTGTATGAATTTAGACTTTACACTAAACTTTACCTGTCCCTTAAGCTAAATAAGAGCCAGTGTTCCCATCTGTTCTATCTTCAGAGTTTAGTGTAATTTTTCCACTTTTTAGTCCTCAGTATGTATCTGTTTAAGGAATGGATGAGTGATTGAGAAAATGCACCACCCTTTATATGCAAAAAAAGTACTTATATATTTGTTTTTCTCTTGTGTTTTCTCCCTGATTCAGTTTTCACTAACGTATCAAAGGTATCAAAATCCCAAGATTTAATTTGTTCACATAAAAGATTATGTGAAATTAATCACTGTGAACTACTTAAGGAAAAATATAGAAAAATAAAAGCTGAGAATTGTGCACTGAAAAAGGAGCTATTAGAAACAAAAGACATAAACTCACAGCTAAAACAGCAAAATTTGAAACTAGAATACTGCTGCTACAATTTGAGGTATTGAGCTTTGTGGTTTTAAAGAGATATTTCAACTATTTCGTTAAAAAATACAAATACATAAGAGAGAAGTTTTGTAATTGCTAACTTGCCTTCTAGGATTTTACAGAGTAGGAACCTTCTTTATTTAGTGCTGTGGAATATGAAATTCTTGGAAATAGTATAGCCAGTTTTTGATAGTGAATACTTTTGCTAATAATTTACTGTATAGTCTTCCAAATCATACTTTTAATGATCATATAGAAGTATACCATATGGAATACTGTATTGTAACTATTGCTGCAAGGATTTCCTTTTGTATTAATCTATATACTGAAGAAAAAAAATCTTCAGTATAGTATTTGGCTGAAGTGCAGCAATGCTGAAATGTCTCTGATCTATATTTCTAAATTGTTCTCACAAGAGTTTATATGAATTTCCATTTCCAACAACACACATGAAATGGCCACTTTTCTGAAGACAGAAGATGTCTTTTAAAATTTATGGTTCATGGGTGATGTGGTGGTGGGAGATTTATGGAGACTACATATGAGCAGGGGAATCAAATATTCTATAAAGATAAACAAAATGCTAAACAGTAAAAAAGCTTAATAAATAAAAATAAAATTACTGCAAACAAAAAAAGTTATGCAGTTTCATTCTTAACCTATGCATGGAATAAAAAGAAAGTGGAAAGTGATTACTGAATAATGTATTCAACAATTCTCTCCTATTATATCAAATTATTTCAAGGTCTGTGCTAAAAGCACATATTACTTTTTATTATACTTAGTGAATATGGGTTGTCTTCTTCCAAAAGGAGTATAGAAATGATTTCTAAAATACCTAGTGATCAACAAGCTCAGTGGAAAGTGTTGCAAAAGAAGAAACACAAAAAGAGTAGGGCAACAGCTAACAGACTCCCTCACCTAGTCTTGGATTATAGTGATCTACAGATGGATGTTGTGTGAAAGAAATCTGAAGATGCTGTCTTACACTGTAAATCATTTGTAGTAATAGCTGTAATATTTTGTGAATTTCAGATTTTGTTCTAGTGTATTTGTAAGCTTATTTAAAAAATAAAAACTTCCCTTTTAAATTTGTAACTAAACTATTCAAAGAGAGTACCAAAAACTATGTGGAGCAAAAAGGTTACCTTAACCCTAACTGTACTGTATCATTTCAAAATTTTTCTCTCTGTGATACTTCCTAGAGTCATAAGTACCTTTCATATGCTGACTTCTTATTGAAACACTTAGGGATCGGCTGCGAAGAGAAGAAGAGCGCTATAGGAGTGGCGCTCAAATGAAGCAGCAGCTGGAGTCCACACTGTCAGCAGTAGCTGTGGAACTGAGAGCTCTAAGAAATGATTTAATGAAGGCAAGTTCCTCCCTGGCAAACTTTTGATATTTCTAACGCTATAATCAAAACTAGTTACAGTATCACATTAATTTGATGTCTATTGTTCAGTTTCAAACATTCCAATCAGACAATGGTCCAGTCAGGCTTGTAGAGGGGGGTGCCTCGAAGGAGATACCAGGCAGAGCAAGAGCCAGCTGGAGTCAGTGTGCAGCCATCCTCTGAAGAGTGAAGGATTCATTGAACCACCTCTGAAGAAGCATTCTGCTCCAAGCTTCAGAAGAAAGAAGGATTCATATTGCTGTTTGAAGAGAAAGCTTTCATCAAACCATTTTCGAAGAAGAAAGATTCTGCTCCCAGACTCTGAAGAGAGAGATGCATCAAGCAGTCCACCTCCATGGGACTCACCAGACCTCTGTAGAATGTAAACCTTGTAGACTTTAGACCTCCACACATCCATAGACCTCCACAGAGACCGCTGCTGCCTCTGCCTCAAGCTGGCTCTTGTTCTGCCTTGTATCCCCTTCAGGGGCCTCCACCGTATAAGCCTGATTAGGCCATTTTCAATCCTGAGCACCTGATTGGACCATTTATCACTAATCAGCTCATTTTCCATTTTTTAATCTGAATAATTAATGAAGTAGACTGGAACTTGATTGGTTGTCTAAATTCCCTCCTGATTGGTCCATTTTGCTCACACCTGATTGGTTCAAGTTTGACTCCTAGAGCCTGAAACTGAAGGGGGAAAAGTCCAGTCTGATCTGCACTCAGGTCAGGTGAGGCTGATGGGCTTGTTGCTTCCAGAGAGGCGTGGCCGGAGCTAGCCTAACTGGGGTCTGGGAGGGGACCATCCATAGGCAGTGGGCTGAGGCCAGCACAAGTTACCCCAACACAGTCACCTTGCCCTGAAACCTTTGGGGGCTGCAAGGATCCAGTTACAAGACTTCAGATTGAAGCAAAGATCCATGGTGGTCTCACAGTCTGCAGAGGTCTTGAAAGTGTTGAAGACTATGGAGGTATCAGTGGTCTCTGCAACATTCTACAGAGAGCTGTGGAGTTCTTTGTGAAGGTCCGTGGAAGCCTTGGTGTCCCGATAAATTTGTCTGTAAAGGGTCGGATGAATGGATTTGCTCAATGCATCAAGTCAGTTGTTGTGCAGGCTTATATCCTCATGAGGGTCCCCACCTTTCAAACCCCACCTGATTGGCCCATTTAGAATCTTCAATGGACTCAAAAAATCCTGGAATGGAACCAGTCAGATTGGTCCATTGAGAGCTTAAACTTGATTGGTCCACCTCAATCCCAGTGTCATATTCAAAAAGTGCAACTATGGCTGCTTGTCCAGACCTGACAAGCAAGCTCATTGGTGTTGGGCTCTGCAGAACCAGCTTTAGTGGGGCTGGAGGTTTGATGAGCTGGCATGCTTCAGTGGGGCTAGGTGTGGTCATGCATGTGGCTCTGCAGAAGAGCGGTTTGATGAGTCTGAGCTGTTGGAGAGCTGGCCACTGCTCAGAGCCTGCCATGATGGCCATGTGCACAGTCTGTAGGCCTCTTTCACCACAGCTCACTCTGGGCCTGGGCAAGCCTCGCTGCCAGAGCCCCAGGACCAGCTGGTGAGGGGTATAGCAAGGACCCACCACTGCCACTGTAGTTGGAGCCTGCCAGGCTGGTGGTTGAGGGAACATGGATGAAGTGTGGAGTGGGGGAAGGGCTACCCCCATGTGGCTGCATGCTGAGGCAGAGAGCCCCCAAACCACCATGCCTTATGGCCTTTAGGTGCCGTGGGGCTCCTCTTGTCAATCCTTCTAATACAGTTTGCTGAGATTTTTATTGGGAATTTTTGCATCTATGTTCATCAGAAGTATTGTCAGAGACAATACTTTGTTTTTGTTTTTGTTTTTTTTTTCTTATAAATTTTATTGTTATATTCCCCATACAATTGCAGCCCCCCCATTCTGACCCCAATCCCTCCCCTCCCGCCCCCGCCCCCCTAAAAGTGTCTCTGGTTCATAGTTTTTTGTTGATTTTGATTTTCACTTTCTTATAGTTATTCATTTTCCTGGTCCCTTATTTAAGTTTTCTAGATTCCTGCTATGAGTGAGACCATCCGGTATTTTTCTTTTTCTTTTTGGCTTATTTCGCTGAGCATGATCCCTTCCAGCGCCATCCATGTTGCTGCAAATTGCATGTGTTTATCTTTTTTGAATGCTGAGTAATATTCCATGGTATATATGTACCACATCTTCTTGATCCAGTCATCTATTTTTGGGCATTTGGGTTTCCAAAGCTTAGCTATTGTAAACAGTGCTGCTATAAACATAGGGGTGCAGGTGTTCTTTGGAATTGATGTTTCTGTGTCCTTTGGGTAAATACCTAGGAGTGGAATTGCTGGATCATATGGAAGCTCTATGTTTAGTAGGTCCAGAAATCTCCACACAGCTCTCCACAGTGGTTGGACTAGTTTGCACTCCCACCAACAGTGCAGAAGAGTTCCTTTTTCTCCACACCCTCGCCAACATTTGTTGTTGCTAGTTTTTTTAATATGTGCCATTCTCACTGGTGTAAGATGGTATCTCATGGTAGTTTTGATTTGCATTTCCCTGATGACAAGTGATGTTGAACATTTTTTCATATGCCTGTTGGCCATTTGCATTTCCTCTTCAGAGAAGTTTCTTTTTAGCTCTTCTGCCCATTTTTTGACTGGATTATTTTCTTTGTTGTTGCTGAGTCTCATCAGCTCTTTGCAGATTTTTGTGATCAGTCCTTTATCATTAGTGTTGGGTGCAAAAATGTTCTCCCAGTTGGTGGGGTTTCTCTTTGTTTTTGTTATTGTCTCTTTTGCTGTGCAGAAGCTCTTTAATTTGATGTAGTCCCAGCTGTTTATCTTTGCCTTCACTATCACTGCTTTGGGTGATGTGTCTGTAAAGATGTCTTTGATGTGCAGATCACATAGTGTTTCGCCTATATTTCCTTCTATATATTTTATGGTTTCAGGTCTTATGTCTAGTTCTTTAATCCATTTTGAGTTGATTTTTGTGTATGGTGTGAGGTAGTGGTCAAGCTTCATTCTTTTGCATGTAGCGACCCAGTTTTCCCAGCACCATTTATTGAACAAACTTTCTTTGCTCCAATGCATAGTCTTTGCTCCTTTGTCAAAGATTAGTTGACCATAAATCTGTGGATTTATTTCTGGATTTTCTATTCGATTCCATTGGTCTGTATGTCTGTTCTTGTTCCAATACCATGCAGTTTTGATGATTATGGCTTTGTAGTATAGTTTGAAGTCTGGGAGTGTAATGCCTCCATTCCCTTCTTTTTTTTTCAGGAGAGCTTTGGCTATTCGGGGTTTTTTGTGATTCCATATGAATTTCATCAATAATTGTTCTATTTCTTTGAAGAATGACATTGAAATTTTGATTGGAATAGCATTGAATCTGTATATTGCTTTTGGAAGGATGGCCATTTTAATAATGTTTATTCTTCCAATCCACGAGCAGGGGATGTCTCTCCATTTCTTTGTGTCTTCTTCTATTTCTTTTAACAGTGTTTTATAGTTTTCTTTGTATAGGTCCTTTATCTCTTTTGTTAGATTTATTCCCAAATATTTGATTTTTTTTGTTTCAATAACAAAAGGGATGGTTTTTTTTATTTCTTCTTCTTCAGATTTATTGTTTGTGTATAGGAAGGCTACTGACTTTTGCATGTTGATTTTGTATCCTGCCACTTTACTGAACTGATTGATGAGTTGAATTAGCTTTTCTGTGGAGTTTTTGGGGTTCTCTATGTATAATATCATATCGTCTGCAAATAGTGATAGTTTGACTTCTTCTTTTCCTATTTGGATTCCTTGGATGTCTTTCTCTTGTCTTATTGCCCTGGCTAGGACTTCCAGTATTATATTGAAAAGCAGTGGTGAGAGTGGACATCCTTGTCTTGTTCCAGATCTTAATGGAATTGCTTTCAGCTTTTCACCATTGAGAATGATGCTGGCTGTTGGCTTGTCATAGATGGCCTTTATGATGTTGAGGTATGTTCCTTGTATCCCAAGAATTTCAAGGGATTTTATCATGAATGGGTGTTGCACTTTGTTGAAAGCTTTCTCAGCATCTATTGATATTATCATATGGTTTTTATATTTCTTTTTGTTGATGTGTTGGATAACGTTGATTAATTTTCGGATGTTAAACCATCCTTGTGCCCCTGGAATGAATCCTACTTGGTCGTGGTGAATTATCTTATGGATACATTGTTGGATTCTGATGGCTAAAATTTTATTGAGGATTTTTGCATCAGTGTTCATTAGGGAGATTGGCCTGTAGTTTTCCTTTTTAGTGTTGTCCTTGTTCGGTTTTGGTATTAGTGTAATGTTGGCTTCATAGAACGTATTTGGTATTGTCCTTTCCTTCTCAATTTTTTGGAAGAGTTTGTGAAGGATAGGCACTAATTCGAGAGACAATACTTTGGATGTAACTTTTCTACTTTTGAGAAAAGTAACTTTTTTTTCCTCTTAAATAGCAACTATGTCCATATAAGGAGTTTTAGAAATGATATGCCATAATATATACTTAGTGACAATTTATCAATAATTATTTTATTACCACAAATTCTGCAGTGGTTTTCTATTTCACATTTATTACTATTTTAAACATTTTGAAGAAGAAATAAAACTAATTGCACCAGGGAATAATCTCATGATTTTTAAAGAGAGCATATAAATTTCACCTTATTTAACTTTAGTGCTTTGAAACAGAAGACTTCCTTTGTATCAAAATATTTACTCCAAGGAAGCTGATGCGGGATGGTACACTAGCACTAGTAGAGTCAGAAGACCTGGGGAAATCCTGTGGTTTGCTTCTATTTTTAACTTCTCCCTTCCTGAATTGACATCTAAATGAGTCCATTCATATGTGTAGCTTAGAACTTCAGGCATACTATCATGCCTGGATTTACCAGTTAACAATAGATTGAATCCTTATAACTGACCTTAAAAATGCTGAAAAAGTACAATGTAATTGGAATCTCAGGGGAGAAGAAAACTTTCAGGAAATTTAATCAGTCCAAAGATATACACTAATCTTTTATGCCTTCTGCATTTGTTGTAATTCATAGCCAGTCTCTTTCCAATTCTGAGATTCTTAGTTTTCTCATGTTTCCTTTTTATTGTCATGGACTCAGTCTTCAGTTAAATTCCTGAACGTTGAAGCAGTTTTGCTAATGTAAATTTTGATGTCCAACTGATTTTTTGTTGGATAGCCTCTATTGATTGCCATCTTTACATTTATAAGCATATCATTTGCTTTTTAATTTCAGAGAAATTGTAATTTCGTTGACTGCTAACAAAATCTATATTTTACTTAGGCTTCTGAGAGTAATGAAAGAGAGAAAGATCCAGTACATAAAAGCCACACTTTGCAGGACGAAATCAGTATGCTAAAACTGGAAATAAATACAATGAAAAATCAAAACCAGGAAAAAGAAAAGACCGTTGAAATTATAAAAGAAATGAATGATTTTCTGCGAAAAAACATACAACAGAGTGAGGAAAGACTTGCAAAAACAATATCCCAACATTGTGAACAACTTATTGTTCTAAAGAGTGAAAATAACTCGCTAAGCACTCAACTGGAACATGAAAAACAAAAATCAGAAACACTGAAAACAGAAGTTGAATCCTGCCATGGTAGACTGGATGCTGCTGTACAAGATCTTGGTCAGAGTCACAAGTCCGAGAGAGACCTAGAACGTCATTTCCAAGAGACAAGAGAGGAGAAGCTGCGTTTAGAGGAGACATTATCTCAACTACAGAGGGAAAACATGTTGCTTCAACAGCAACTGAATGAGGCTCGCAACAAAGCTGACAATGAAGAGGAGACAGTAATGAATATGCGAGGCCAGTTTCAGGACACTATAAGAAGGCTTCGAACTGAAAATGAGAAACAAAAAGAAACAAATGACAAGTTAATTGATGAATGTAATCTTTTAAAAAAAAGAATATATAAGTATGAAAAGAAGAAAGCAGCAAGAGAAGTAAGTATTCTCTCCAGAAAGTTATTTTTCAAGCTTCCTGAAGGAAAACTCAAAGTAATAATTGGTTAGGGCTAAAGATTGAATCTAGTGAATGTGAGAAATATATAGACTCTAATCATATTTGCTTTGTCAGCTTAGAACCATCTATTGTGTCCAGTAAATAAAAATTAGGCCTGAGAGGTGCATTACACTATGTAAAGATGTAGAGTCACCTATGAAATTTTATTTTATTTTATTTACTTTTTTTTATTTTTTTATAGAGGCATGTTTTATTTATTTGTTTGTTTTGTTTATACATGCACTGGGTACAGTCAGAAGCGCGGGAGGGTGAGAGAATTCACCAGAGCCAGAGCGGGGAGCAGAGCAGGCAGAAGGACCGAAGTACACTGCTGAGGGGAGCAGCGGGTGGCAGGAGAGGTCTGCGCGCCATGTGGGACCCTCCTCTGATGGCCGGGGAGCAGCCAGGGATCGAACCGGCGCTGCAGAGGCCGGGGACAGCTTCACAACCCAGCGCTCAACCGCTGCGCCACCGGGGAGGCCCACCTATGAAATTTTAAAAGGGCAAATAATAAGTTATCAATAGGTACAGACTGATATTAATAACTTAGTCATACTGCTAAAATAAAAATATGAATCTTTATAACCCCAATTTTGTTCTATGATGAGGCAGCTAGGTAAAAGTGCTCATACCTAAAATGAATATTTTGGATTTAATAGTCAAGTAAGTGTATTACCTTGACAGTCAACTCCACATTTTACAGATGAACTGAAATGTAAAGACTGCATCTCATAGAACTTTTCTTTCAGGAGACTTTACTAATTTTTTTTTTTTTTTTTTTTTTAGTTATTTTAGATAACAGTAGATGTAGCTTTATTTTTACTCATGTCAGTTTGAATTGAATTTGAAAAATTTTGGTCTCCAATTATGTGTTCTAAAGACCTGCTCAGCACTTTAAAGGCATCTATTTTTCATGAAATTATAATTTGAGACAAATGTGGTTTCAGCAAAATTCTGATTTAATCTTCTTACTGTGATTTATACTTTGAACATTTTTATAAATAATTTTCTCACAATTCTCATTTCAAGGCTCAATTATTATCATTTGGACCTAGATTACCCAACACTAACAGAATTGGGTATCTCTGTGATGTGTTACTTTGGCCTTAGACCCCCATTTTCGGACAAATGAGGGGTGGCAGGATGCATGTGTAGCGGGCAGGGATTGAGGAGGGAAAATTTGTAAGGGTTGAGGTCAGGAAGGTAGGTGGAGGCAGAGTCCTTAGGGTCTTGAAGGCCATTGGAATGACTTCACTTTTATTCTGAGACAGAAGGATTTGAGCCGAGAATTGAAGTTAATGTAAGGATCTAATACAGAGAGGGAAAATGTTCCCCAGTGTGGAATTTGCCACCACTAGTCTCTCCTCCATCTCCACTTCCCTTTGAGACTTTCAGGGGATTGTCAAGTTTTGCAAATTGGTCAGGGAAGAATAGTTAAGGGGTTGAATCTGTTGTCTAAGCTACATAGCAGTTTAGGCAAGAGGATAACAACTTCTCTTTCTTCAGCTGAATTCAGTAAACCAGAAGTTGTATGATAAAGAAGGTCAATGGATGATATTTTTCAAAGCACACATGTTAGCATTATATATTATTAACATAATAATGTGATATTGATTGATATAAAATCAGGAACAGAAATATATTATTTAGGTAGCTGTGAGAAAATAGCATGATTTAAAAGTAGTACCATGCTCTTAAACTATTCTTAATTTATATTGTTCAATTACCTACTTTTAAAATGGATTTTCTTATTCTTTGGACTATCAGATTACATGAGTACAGCATTGGAATGATTCAATTTTATTTTTATAATTCACAATAAATTTAGTTGATATTGATAGTTTTAAACTAACTTTCTCACATTTGAATTTTTTTTTTTAAATTTTAAATTTTTAAATTTATTTTTGCTTAGAAGAACTGGAGTGTAGGCCAGAGGTGCAGTTGGACGGGGCGGGGGAGGGGGTGTTTGTTTAAAGGACATTCATCAGACACAGAGTTGGGAGCAGAACAGGTGGATTTACTGACATACATTGCTAAGGGAAACAGCAGGTGAGACAGGAGAGGCATGTTGGGGCACGTGTGGGTTATCTTCCTGGCCAGGGATCGAACTCAGGTCACAGTGATAGCACTGAGACTTAACCCCTAGGCCACCAGGGAGACCCTTCATGGTTGAAATTGCTCTCTGAATCACTGCCTCAGAAAGATACCTGTTCAATTATCCAGATTATAAGCATTAACATTATTTTAATTTTCTATAGGCACAAGTAACACCTCAAGACAATTTGAAACTGTTCAGAGGTACTCAGACTACTTCAATAAGTCAAATGGAAGTCAGATATAAAAATTTGGAAACTGAAAATTGCAGACTGCAAACTGATTTAGAGTCACAGAGAATAAAATCGGGAAAATACATGCAACTCTACCTAGAAGAATCAAAGATGAGACAATCATTGCAAAATAACGTAAACACGTAAGCTGAAAAAACAGGAATCATAGAAAATAAACTTAGTTCATTTATTTACCTCTAAAACATAATGGTTATAGATCCAGGTTCATGTAATTAGTAACAAGTCATTATTTAGGAAATAATGTTAATAAGGGAATATATATTTTTTTAAGATTCATTTTTTATTTATGCATACAAGAGTTGGGGCACAGGACAGCAATATGGGGGGTGAGAGAGTCCACCAGAGACAGAGTGGGGTACAGAACAGGCAGAACAATTGAAATACACTGCTGAGGGGAGCAGGGGGCTAGTCAGGAGAGGTCTGCTGTGCCATGTGGGTTTCTCCCTGGCCAGCCGGGGATCAAACTCATGCCTCAGAGGCTGTGGGTTGCTTCACAGTGCGATGCCCAACCTCTTGCTCCACCAGGGAGGCCCAGTGAATATATCTTTAAAATGTTATTCCAGGACAGTTTGAATCTCCTCTCTTTTTTTTTTTTTTTTTTTAAAGATTGATTGATTGATTGATTGATTGATACAAGCACTGGGTACAGTCAGAAGCGGGAGTGTGAGAGAATTCACCAGAGCCAGAGGGGAGAGCAGAGCAGGCAGACTGATGAAGTACACTGCTGAGGGGAGCAGTGGGCGGCAGAAGTGGTCTGCGCACCATGTGGGACCCTCGCTCAGCAGCTAGGGATTGAACCAGCGGGCAGCTTCGCAACCCAGTGCTCAACTGCTGCACCACCGGGGAGGCCCTGAATCTCCTCTCTTTTGTTGATTTTACATGACTTAATTTTTAGCCCTAAATAATTTCATCTAGTTAACCTGATTACTAGATTTTTAGATAAGAATATTTGAAACTTTATAACTTAGTGTTATTGTTATAAAAATTGCTTGTCATAATTCTCCCAGTAGAAATATTAATGAGTTTATTTTTTTGAAGATTACAATTTCAATTCAAGTGGTCTTCAAGTATCACTACACTTAGCACAGTTTGGCTACTGGTGAATTAATTTTCTTCACATGGTCTTTGACACAATCGCTGGAGGGCACCCTGAAACAAACTATCCTTCACAGTTTTAGATTTTCTGCTCTCCAGAAAGGCCTACAAGTGAAATGAGGAAAGCTGCAGGAGGTGAAGGGTAGTATCATTCGCAGACTGACTACGAATAAATATTGGGTTCTGCTTCTGCTTGAGGAGGTGTGTGGAAGCCCACATGGGTAGATCTCAACCCCAGTGCATTTGTAAGAGTATTAGGGGCTTTCTTTTCCCTGGAGCTGTTTAGTTCTCTTTAGTCACCCACCAGGCAACTCTCCTGTTCTCCCCTAGAAGTTGTTGTTCTAAGTTAATCTTCAGTGCCAAAGGTTTAACTGTCAGAGGTACTGAGTGAAATGTGTAAGGATAGTGAAAGGAAATGCTTGACATTATCCCTGAAGCCGCCTCCATCACTGCCCACCCTCCCTGCTTTGAATTACTTATTAGGAACCTTCCCAGAAACATGGGCTTCTTTACCACAATTTTAAACCCCTAATTATAAACAGTAGGTATGCGCCAACACATTTTGAGTGTTAAAACATTGTTTTATGGGAAATTCATGTTATGGCAACATTTGTTTTTAAAGTGCAAATTATTTAGGCCAAAATGAAATATTAAGGATTTGGGTTTGGCAATCTTCGCAGGACCATTGAGCAGCTAAGAGAAGTCAATACCGAACGTCTTGTGGAGGAAACACATCCCGAACATGTATTCAACGCTCCTCCTCTGAGGCCATGCCTACCGCTATCTTCTGCAACAAGTCCACTCAATAGTCCTAATAATCATTTCATGCTTGATAGTTATCTTAGGACAAGGCAGAATTCAACAACTTTTCCTACCTTCAACCCATGGCCTTAAAATGAAAGCATAGACACTTAACTATGACAAGGTTAGTTATATTACCTTTTTTTTTTTTAAGATTTATTTATTTATTTATACAAGCACTGAGTAGAGTCAGAAGCATGGGAGGGTGAGAGAATTCACCAAAGCCAGAGCAGGGAACAGAACAGGCAGACTGACGAAATACACTGCTGAGGGGAACAGCAGGTGCGACAGGAGAGGTCTGTCGCGACATATGGGACCCTCGCTGGCAGCCAGGGATCAAACCAGTGCTGCAGAGGCTGTGGGCAGCTTCGTAGCCCAGGGCTCAACCTCTGTGCCACCAGGGAGGCCCTATATTACTTTTTGACAAATTTTATATCACCTTGGGTTTCAAATTTCTGGTGCAATATTCATTTATACTTTGACAAAATTCTTAGTCGTTCAACTAACTTATTTATACACGCTAAGTAAATGTCAGTTACTTGTCCTAATAAAGTAGACAGAAAATTTAAAATTGTAAGTGCCTGGCTCTTGCATTTTCAGAATCACTGATGTTATTGAATTAGATGTAACTAAATCAACACATTTAAAATTTCTTGAAAATCTGGGTTTAATCATATTTTAGAAATTAAATATTATTGCTTGATAACCAGAAGTATACTTTGAGATACTTTGGCTTACTTTATGATTGATTTCAGTTTGACCGTGGTTCATAAGAATTTTAAAGTTTCTCTGTACATTACCTGCCTCATTTTTCCACCATGTGCTAAGTTTATGACTGACATCCAAACGGATGTTTATCATTTACAGTAACTCCTCTTTATGAATTAAGCATAAATTAATTACTAAAAATTAATTTCTATTGTCACTGTCTTACATAAGAGTATCCTTAACTACAATTTTATCTTTTAACATTTTTATCTCTTTTTATAAAATATGGACCACTTTCCAAAGAGTCCAAACAAACAAATATTTAAATGTTTAAAATCCAGTTAACTTATGTTTCTATAACTTGCAATCACTGAATGACCACTAAGAGAACAAGGTAAAAGTATCTTTTAATACCAGCTAGTTTTATTGGCTCTCATTGTTATTAAAATTTCTACTTCAATCAATGCACATTAATTTATGGTTTTGATGGTGTTTTCATGTTCTTCTTAATGCACGTAAAAGCAACAACGGCTCATTTTAAAAGAAGTCTCACATGATTTTTTGCATTTGGGTTCTTGTCATAATAAATCATGGAACAGTAAAGCTAAGAATTCTTAGACAGCTTTCTAGCCAAATGGGTGTTAAACTTCAAAGTTGTGAAATTGTATTATTTGATGTAGAAAGAAAATGAAAGTCAAATATGGCTTTAAATTGTTAAATCTTCTTTTTCTCATGAAAATTAAAAAAAAAAACCAGATAATGTATCATTTTATAAGGTGGAGTATATATGCAGAAGCAATGTTAGAGAAGATTTTTGAGGAAATTTCTTCCTTTGCCTGTTTTGGGGAAAAAAGTTGTTTTTAATATTTTTAGATAAGTGAAAAAGCAGTTTATTTTAAGTTTAATGTTGTGGCTCAAGTCCATGGTCCTCTTGTGGGGCACTGGTTTGCCCAATTATGCTAGTCTTAGTAAGAGAGATCAAAAATCACTACTCTATCAAGATACAGAAAGACATGTCTCCATAATGACTTCAAATGCCTCAAAAAAGTTGTCTAAGAGTGGCTTTGGAAGAGTTCTTTGTATACCTGAATATCAATCCCTTGTCAGTTGCATGCTGTGTGGATATTTTATCCATTCTGTGGGATGTCTTTTTCCTCTACTAATATGTTCTTTTGCTATGTGAAAGGTTTTTAATTTGATGTCATCTCATCTGTTTATTTGGTTTTTATTTCCCTTGCCTTAAGGGTTTAGTCTCCAAAGACATCTATGTTAGTGATGCCTTGAAACCTATCAACAATGCTCACCTCTATATTATTTTATTGCTCATCCTTTATGAACTTATCATTGTACTTGGAGTTAGAGAGTGGGTCTAAGGTCTTTCTTCCCCACGTGTCTGTCTGATTTTCCTGCCCCACTTGTTAAAGAGATGTCCTTTTCCCCATTGCATGGTTGTGGTGTTTTTGTCATAAATTGGGAATTGATATATGTGTAGCTGGATTGCCACGCCTCTGATTCCGTTCCATAGCTTTGTGTCTGCTTTTATTCCTATACACTATTGTGTTAATTACTAAATCATAGTGTTTAAAATCAGGTAACGTGCCTCCATGTTTCTTCTTTCGTCAGGATTGCTTTAGCTCTATTTATTTCTGGCTCCACCCTTCCTTCACTTCTTTTGTCCCTGTGGAAATAGCAACCTGCCACAGAAACTTTTCTCAGAAAAGATGGGCTTCATCAGCTTCTTGTGTTTCTAGTAATAAGGTCCAAAACAAAACAAAAACCTCTACTCATCGACTAGTCCTCGGTCCAGCAATAGCTGTCACTTGATAGGTGACATTTAAATCTACACTCATTTAGTTTGTCATGGGTTTATCTTTTGCCCCCAGGGGAAGTTCCAGCATCCTCAGCATGGAATAAAAGCAGCCAAATAAATTTGGATCCTGCCAACTTACATATCCTTAGCTCCCACTACTTCCTTTGCTGCCCCTTTACTTTAGCATCTGACCGACCGAGACTATGTATAAAGCCACAGTGCATTACCTTCTCTGCAGCTCTTTGGCTCCGCATCTCTTCTCTGTCTGGCATATCCTTCCCTTGCCCTTCAAGTATCAGTTTAAATATCACCTCCACCAAAAAGCTGGCAAATAGTGACACAAAACCATGAAGTTCCTTTTGTGTTCCAGTAGCACCCTGTTCATACCTGTCATGCTGCATACATGATCATTGAGGAGCGGACCGTGCCATCTCTGTATTGTCATTCCAGTGGTTGTCACAGTACCTTAGCACATGCTTGCTGAATAAATGAGAAATGAGAAAATCGGAAGCTCTGATACTTAGCCACAATAACCATTGATTCAATGTGCAATAGACAAATTGTATTTGCTGTCTTTCATTTTGGAATGTAGTGGCACATAAATAATGTTTCATTTGAATACTGATGAAGGGCTCCACTTTTTTTTTTTCTTTTTACCAGATTATCTTAGTCATCGACAAAGTTTTTTTTTTTTTTTTTTTTAAGATTTATTTATGCATTCACGAACTGGGGTACAGGCCAGAGGTTTGGGTAGTAGGAGGATTCACCAGAGAGAGAGTGGGGAACAGAACAGGCAACAGGAAGTTTGACTGAAACACACTGCTGAGGGGAGCAGCGGACGAGTCAGGAGAGGTCTGCTGTGCCATGTGGGTAGCTCCCTGGCCGGGATTCAAACTCGTGCTGCAGTAGCTGCGGATAGCTTCATAGGTTGCGTCTTAACTCCTTGTGCCAACCAGGGAAGCCCTGACAAAGTATTTTCGATAAAGAATGTAATTCTTCGTTTTTTTCCTGGCTGCTGCTGAAGTTGAATCTGGATCATATTGAGCTTCTGTAGGAATTTACAGATGCATCCATGAAATCAAGATGCACTTTTGAAGCATCCCAACAAAATGTAGAGATTTTGAAGAAAAAGTACATGACCTGAATGATAAAATAATACAACTTGACTTACTGGGCTATTTACATTACATTTTAATTGTTTCCTATACTTGTGTAAATTTTTATTAGAGGACAATATTTTTATATCATTCTCATTTAAGTTTAGATAGTACTTTACATTTTGTTTCTTGGCATCTAACTAAACTCTAAGTTGATTTAGTGAATGAAAATTAGCACTATGAGTTTTACACATAACAAATTGCCCAAATACCAACTGTTCCAACAGCACTCAAACAACTCAGCTGTGATTCATCTCTTAGTAGTGTTTTTATATTTTGAATGTTTATAACATAATTTTGACACCCAGCTGCTGTGACTATTGTCAGGATGTGGATGTTTTACAGTTGTTATGCCATCAAACTTATTATATATAGTTGTAATGTAAACATGGATTCCTAGATCTCCCTCATGGTAAAGTAGAATTTGCTTTTCTCATGTTCTTGTTATTTTTTACTTTAGGTTTACTTTTTTGGAAACAGTCTTAAAATTAAAGTTCCAAGTTGTTGTAGAAAAATATTTTTTTGACCCTGAACCATTTGAGAGTAAATTGCTAACATGTTATCTCCCCAATCATTTAGTGTATATTTCCTACAACTCAGTTCATTCTGTATAACTACATGTAGCCTTTCCTATAAGAAAATTAACACTAGTAATTCTGTTATTTAATCCTCATATTCATTTCAAGTTTTGTTCATCCATAGTATCTTTCATAGCAAAAACAAAAACACCCTGTCCATATCCATAAATTGCCTTTAGTTGTCATGTCTCTTAGTCTCCTTCAACTGGGAACAGTTCTTCAGTCTTCCCTTGACTTTCTTGGCCTTAAATCTTTAAAGAGTAAATTCTAGTAATGTAGAACATACCTCAGTATGGATTCTTATGTGTCTTTATGGTGAGATTCAGATAATACATTTTTAACAAGAGTATTAAAGAAGTATTGCAGCCCATCATAGGACCGACAATTTTTGTATGTCACCCAATGGTGATGTCAGCATTGGTCAGTGAAGGTAGTATCTGCTGAGATTCTCCTCTATAATGCCACTTTATAATTTAAATAGTATTTCATGGGGAAGTACTTTGAGACAATGTAAATAGCTCTGCCCTTCATCATACATTTTGTTTTTTTGAATCTTAAAAATATTTTATTGTGATTTTTTAAAAGTACATCAGCACGAGTCAAAAGTTCAATTGCCATTTACTCATGAAAATAACCTTTAATTTCCTCAATTAAGATGGAATGTGTTTTTCCACCACAGACATGAGAGGATTCAGAAAAGCCTGAAAATCACTTACTCTACACATGACATTTGATATATTTGCCGAATTATGCACTGTATCCCATGGAGTTTATTCTTGGAAATCCCCACTCTGTGCTACCTACCTGAGCATCCTCTAATGCCCTTCACAGCTTCATTGACCATCCTCTGTGATACCTGACTTTTTGCACTTTGGGATGAATAATCTTGTATACTGTAACAGAAGAGTTGTAGTGTACATGCTTGTAGCTCCATGTGCAGGACTCTGGAAGCAGAGCCCACAGTAATTAGTACATTATTCTGCAACTACAGCACTTGGGGATCAGAGCTGGGTGTGTGACTAGAGTCAGTGACTTGGTGACTGCAGACCCCAGCTGGCCTCAGGCCATGAGGAGTGTGTGCCTGTGACCAGCAGGTGAGGCTGCTGGACTATTGTGAAGGTTCCACACAACTGTAGAGTGAGGGCCATTCACTCAGAGAAGACTGGTCCTGGTGGCTGTGCTTGGGTTTCCTGATGGGACTCACCCACGGTGACCTGTCTGGCCTGGGGTAGTCCAGGTACAATTGGTTTCCCCAAGGACTTCCTCAAGAGGAGAAGCAAATATGCTTCCTTCTCAATGTGAAGTGTGAGCTGAGCTCCAGCACCAGGACTCAGGGAGGGGCTGGGCAGGCCCAGCTTGAAACACATTTGCATGCACAGCCCCTCCTGTGGCCCAGGGTTGGGAGAAAAGGAGGCCTGGGGCAGCCCAGCCCCACGTGGGGCCCAGGGGTCTGTGAGCACCATGGCCTGGACTCCTCTGCTGCTCCTACTCCTCTTTCAATGCACAGGTGGGGACAGGCCTCAGACACCCAGGTGTCCCTAATCTGAATCAATTTCTTGTACTTCTACTACACCAGCAGCTGCACCTTGTTTGTCCAGTTCATTCTGATGTGTCTGTGTCTGCAGGTTCCCTCTCCCAGCCTGTGCTGACTCAGCCGCCCGCCCTCTCTGCTTCTCCTGGAGCCACAGCCAGACTCACCTGCACCCTGAGCAGTGGATTCAGTGTTGGCAGCTATACCATACACTGGTACCAGCAGAAGCCAGGGAGCCCTCTCCGGTACCTCCTGTACTACTACTCAGACTCAGATAAACACCAGGGCCCCGGGGTCCCCAGCCGCTTCTCTGGAGCCAAAGACGCCTCCGCCAATGCAGGCCTCCTGCTCATCTCTGGGCCGCAGCCTGAGGACGAGGCCGACTACTACTGTCAGATCAAGCACAGCGGTGCTTCTCCCTGTGACCCACACAGATGGGGAAGTGGGACAGAAACCTCAGCCTGCTCAGGGACCAAGTCCTCGACCCTCTCCAGTTTCAAATTACCTCAACACACTCATTGTACTTAGAGGAGCTTCCAGGCCCCAGTGTCTGTCCTGCCAGTTTCTCTTCAGTGTGTCTGAACTCTCAGGAAACACAAAAACAACAGTGCCGTGATGATACAGAAATCTTGCCTCGTTCAGTGTTTAAAAATTCTGAATAAAATGATCTGGGCTTTTTGTTTGTTTTGTTTTGTCTTTTTTACTCTTCTTTTAAATAGGCCTCTGCCTTTCTGAGCTTTGGTCGAGCCCAGGACCACGGCAGGTGGAGCGTCCCCACAGCATGGACGCTGCTGCCCAGCGCTCAGAGCAGAGCCCCTCCTCCCCCCAGCTCAGTGCTCAGAGCTGCCTGTACATTGTCCCAGCGTGAGTCATGAGGCAGGAGCTGTGGGGTGAGACCCCTGACAGGGAGGAACCCCAGCCCAGAGCTAATCACCCCCCCACAGGCACCTGACCTTCAGTGTGAAGTCAGGAAGGGGCTAGACCTGGGGACAGGGGTGAGCCCCTGGGCTGAGGCTACAAATACTATGGGCGATGGTCAGGCCCTCACCCTCTCCTGTGGTCTTCAGGACTCACTCCCTCTCACGTGAGGGTTTGGAGGAAAGTGAGTGTGTTCTTGCTGGTCTTTCCATCCCCAAGAGTCTTGTCTCCAGGAGGAGAGTTCCCAGAGACCAGACCCTCTAAGCAAAACCTCATCTTCCTGTTCCTGATCATCCCACTCACTGGCTCGCTGCTCCTGCCACTCTCAACCAATCTCTTTAGCATGATAATGAAAGTACTAATTTTGCTGCAAATAATCTGTTCATGCATCCTTGAGTATGGGCATATTAAATGTGCTAATTTAACTATTTTCTCCATTTAATTTAACTGGTGTCACAGGAGTTGTAGTGAACCTCAGAGCAAGGGCTGCTGCCTATTTTAGGAAGCACCATTATATGTCTCAGCCCCATAATCCCCTTTCCTAAGCCCTCTCAGGACAGCACCTCCACAGCAGCAACATTCCCCCAGGATGGAAATTTCTTCCTCACACAGAGGGAAATACTGGTGGACCACAGGCCTGGTTGTGGGTCAGGGGCAGGAGGAAGGCGGCTGTGTGATCAAACACCCCCCAACCCCCCCACAGTGCTTCCTGAGATCTGAAGGCCCGCGGCTGTGGGTCCTGTGCCTTGGGAAAAAAGTAAGAAAATGGACAGATTTTTCTTATTCCTGAAAATATGAACTTCTGATTCTGGTAACAGAGGTGCTGTCCTCTCACATGAGTCCTCACTACCTACAACACATCCTGCTCCAAGGTTAGTGTCTTCAAGACTCTCGTCCTTTACTCCAGCACCCAGGACAAGGGAGGGCCTAGGAGCTAGTCAGCTTCCTGGGAGGATTTCATGGCGCAAACAGCTCAGGGTGTGGAGAGAGCAGAGTGGGTCAGGGGCCCCTCAGCCTCGTCAGGTCACACAGACACACACACACACACACACACACACACACACACACCCCATTCTCTTCTTTCTCAGCATACATTGTCATGGGCAGAGGAGTCTGGGAGTTGCCTCTGTGCCTCCAGAAATCAGGGCTCCTCCTCTGCCCCCAGAGAGGTCCTCAGTGTCAGGATGTTCAGGAAGCTGACTTTCCCTCTGCAGGAGATCCCAGCCACATGGATGACACTTGTGCTGTATCAGGACCAGACAGAAAATATCCTGAGCAACAGTTCTGACCTACTGCCAGGTGCCCAGAGACCCAGGAGTGGGGTGTGTAAGGTGTGCAACTCTGACGCTGGAGTCACATGGGCCTTCACACGAGGGGACACAGGGGTGCCTTTCATGAGACAGAAGACAAAATAAACCAATGAACAGCAACTTTAACAACGTGAAGCATTTTTCGATCCTAAAGAGGGAGAGTACAGGATGGCCGCAGAGTCTGGGGCAGAGACCCAGAAACTGGGGAAGCCTGGAGGCCGCTCGAGCTCAAGCAGCAACCAGGTGATGAGGCTGCAGGTCAAGGTGGACGCTGGGAAAGGATAAGGAGCCATAGAGCCAAGACCCAGCTCTCACTCAGCAGACACGCTCTGGTGCATCAGTGGCGTTACGAAGGAGAAAAGTGCTACACTCCACCCTGAACCCCAAATTCCTTCTTATGGCTTCTGTGTGGATCTGCAGGCCCTGTCTCTCCCTGAACAGAGAACTCAGAGCACCAGACCCCAGGAGCAGAGGGAGAGGGGCTGGGGAGGGACTTCAAGGAGCCTCCTTCCATCAGGGATGCCCCATGGCCATGAGAGGGCACTGTGTGCAGAGACCTGGGAAAGCTCAGCCCTGAAATGTCACCCCAGCCCTGACATGGACCCCATGTGTGGGTCCCACCACACGTCTCCGATGTGGACCAACCAGAAGCTGTGAGTTGGCACATGCTGTGTCGTGGGGGAGAACATTTGCACACTGGTCCCGTGCCCCCCCCCCAGGACCAGGAGGGCTAGTGAAAGCCTGGAGGCTGCTGTGTGCTGTGGGGTCTGGGACAGCCCAGCCCTGGGGTGACTGCACCATGACCTGGGCTCCTCTCATGCTCACACTCCTGCATGCTCAACTCCTGGCTACTGCACAGGAGTAGCCGGGGCGGGGTTTGGGTGGGGATGGTCCTGGGCTGGGTGGGAAAAGCCAAACTGCCCTTCCACAACCTGTCTTCTCTCCTGACCTTGGAATCCCATCAGTTTTCAAGGGCTACATGTCAGACTGCGGTGATTCAGGAAACTTCTTTGACCAGAAATCCTTCTTTGACCACCCTCCCTGTGGCTGCAGGGCTGGGGCATCACCACCAGTAACTATGCCAGAGGGGTCTAAGCCATTTGCATGGACAGCCACCTTGTGGCAGAGAGGAGAAGACTAGGAGGCCTGGTGCAGCCAGCCCCACTGTGGAGAGCAGAGTGCTGTGAGCACCGTGTGCTGTGCACCCCTAGTCCTTTGCCCTTCTCTTACTGCCCAGATGACCGGATATGGGTCAAGAAAGGGCCCTGGGAAGATGCTCAGTGCTTGCAGGGCCTGGCGGTTCCTGTCTCCAAGGCCCAGGTGAGCCATATCAGACGAGCCATGGCCTCGTCTGGCTCCAGGGCAGAAGGGCTTGAGCCTGGTTCACAGGAGGAGAGCAGGTGGGATGCGCAGAATGAAGGGCCCCTGTGTCATCCGGGAGGGGAGGAAAGGGAGAGATGAGGGTCCCTGTCCCAGCTGGGGGACATGGTCAGAGCTCTGGGCACATCTCCACCAAGGCCTGGAGCCCTCTCCTCTGCTCCCTCTTCACTCACGGCACAGGGGCTGGATTCGGGGTTCAGGTGAAGGTCCTAGGAGGATAATTGGATCTTTCTTCCTCCTTCGTGAGGAGCCTGCTAAGCAGCTGGGCTGAGTCTCCATCTTTACGAGTCTTCGTATCATTGAAATGACTCATATATGTGATGGCTCATTGATTTATTAATCTGTTATTGAAACCTTTTATAACGTGTGTATTAAACCATTTGCATCGATAATTAACATTATTCGTCTATTAATATTGCTTTTCTGTGTAAATTGCTGCTTAGGCATACTTACCACTGTTAGAACTGCTTTGAAAAGATGTTGATTTTTCATTTTATGGGAATAAAACCCATGAAATGAAGAAAACTGGACCAGTGTGAGCTCTGAGATTTTGTTGCGGTTTCCTGTGAAATTATCTGCATTTTATGCTATTGGGTGGAATTGTTCCTTAATAACATTCCCTATTCATTCAAATGAAATCAACATGGTTTTTAATTATGTTTCTCTTGAATCTGACTTCCTAGGAAAGAACATTTAACTTTTTTTTATTTTATTTTTATATTCCCCATACAATTGCAGCCCCCCCATTCTGACCCAATCCCTCCCCTCCCACCCCCGCCCCCTAAAAGTCTCTCTGGTTCATAGTTTTTTGTTGATTTTGATTTTCGTTTTCTTATAGTTATTCATTTTCCTGGTCCCTTATTTAAGTTTTCTAGATTCCTGCTATGAGTGAGACCATCCGGTATTTTTCTTTTTCTTTTGGCTTATTTCGCTGAGCATGATCCCTTCCAGCTCCATCCATGTTGCTGCAAATTGCATGTGTTTATCTTTTTTGAATGCTGAGTAATATTCCATGGTGTATATGTACCACATCTTCTTGATCCAGTCATCTATTTTGGGCATTTGGGTTGTTTCCAAAGCTTAACCATTGTACATAGTGCTGCTATAAACATAGGGGTGCAGGTGCTCTTTGGAATTAATGTTTCTGTGTCCTTTGGGTAAATACCTAGGAGTGATTGCTGGATCATATGGCAGCTCTATCTTTAGTAGGTCGAGGAATCTCCACACAGCTCTCCATAGTGGTTGGACCAGTTTGCACTCCCACCAGCAGTGCAGGAGAGTTCCTTTTTCTCCACATCCTACCAACATTGGTTGTTGCTAGTTTTTTTTTTTTAATATGTGCCATTCTCACTGGTGTGAGATGGTATCTCATGGTAGTTTTGATTTGCATTTCCCTGATGACAAGTGATGTTGAACATTTTTCCATATGCCTGTTGGCCATTTGTATTTCCTCTTTCAAGAAGTTTCTTTTTAGCTCTTCTGCCCATTTTTTGACTGGATTATTTTCTTTGTTTTTGTTGAGTCT